CAGACGCAAAAACTGGTCGTCTCGCGTATGAAAAGCATGCAAAGCAACTCCCAAAGATGCTCTGGGAGCAATCGGATCTATGGTGCGAGGAGAACGCTAGAAGCCTGGACAGGTCTGGGAAAAAATAAACTATGAATCTATGAGTTTTGTCAGAATCATTTTTTTTCCCACAGAAAGGACATCAAAAAGCAATGGCTCATTTCCTCAGTCCCTGAAACATATTAAAAACATCTTCATTTGCCAGGACACCCCCAATTGGAGGGAAAACCACATCAAAAGATGCAGGGAAAACCCCCAGCACTTATGGCTCGTTCCCCACATCTCTGGATGTAAGGCGAGTTCACCCACCGAATCCCACCCACCGGTGCGTCAAAAACCGATGTCGACCCCCGGTTTTGTGTCCACACTGTTTGGGGAAACACACACAAAGACAAACAAAGAGGGAAGTGAAAAAGGTTCGAAGCGTTCGAACAGCTTTCGAACAGCTTTGACCAATCCAATGACTGACTGGATCCATTCTCTGACACGACTGACTGGAGACGACCGAGATGCTTCACACAATGCTTCCAACATGAAAGAACAATGTAATGCGAAGACCGGAGTAATAACCCCGCCCACACGTCTATTATATAATCCGATGTTTGCATTATTGTATATATATACATATGCCTCCAGGATTTGGTGTTTGGTCGAACCTGAGTGACCTCTATGTTGGATCACCAACCAACCAAAATATGGTCTTGTCCTATGAAAACAGAGGGTCAATTATATATATATATATATTATGTATATATACACACCTAGAACCTGAGTGACAGCTGTTTTGGATCCAAAATGATTATATTTTCCTATGAAAACACTTGTCAATTGGGTTCTCTTTGCGAGACCTGGACAAATAGAGGCGAGACCCGGAAAAGGCTTCTACAAACTGCCTCCCCGCTTAAGACACTCTGACGCACTCATCTCGAGCACAAGGTTATTTCACGGATTACTTGCTCATCGCCACATGCAATACCTAAATCGCGGCGGAAAATAGAAACGATAAGGTCTCGTGCCCTCCAGAGTTGAAACCCCAGATTCGCTTGGCAAATGTCTCCTGTTCAAAGATGGAGCTTGAGCGACACAGATCGCTCAACAGATGATGTCGGCGGCTGAGCATCATGCTCCGCCACACAGGGATGCTCCGCGCCCTCACCGGATCTTCTTTCTGCAAAGTGAGTTGGATCAAGACACAGCAAGTCTGCTTAGGAGTTGAATCGATTGAACTGAGGTTTCAGGGTGAGGATGCGAATCAACATGAGTCGGTTTGTTCATCAAGAGTCCGCACTATTAATGTGAATTCTATGATGTATACTGTGTATATATATAATATTCAAAATGAGGACCCAAATATATCCAAATGACTGGTATGAGGATGTCATTGAATAACATACCATCCGTTTCGTATCATTCGTACCAGATGTCCTACTCTGGAGCATTCGCCGAGACCACGTTGCGGCACAGCCGGCCAACACCGCTTGAATTGCTGTTGGGGCAGCTGTTTGGGGGAAGGGGCGGTGCAGGAACAGGCCCAAGTGGCCCGTCACAGCAAAATCCTTGGAAGGAGGTTCCTATCAACACTTCCTGGAATCATTCCGCTTAAACGGCCGCGCGGTTCCGGCCGGAGCTGAAGGAGCTCACACAAGCTAGACTAGACGCGTCCTGTTTCTGGGAGACTGGACGGATCTGATGCATTCTTGGTGTCCTCGAAGCAAGCTCAACAGTCCAAACATCATCTCTACTCCATACCCTTTCATGGGATGAGCGTCCTTGAACCGATCAGTTCAGAAGGGGGGGATGGATGTTCAGGTGAGCAGGATCCCACGGACATGTGTGTTTCACCGGGTTTCACCCTGCTTCCACCCCGATGGAGGCGCGTGAAACAAGCGGGTCTTTGCTTTGCAACACATCTTTTGGCGACTGAAGTGAGTCATTCTTGTCCCAGTGAGTAGCTCATCCCACAAGCTAGGGCATCAGGCGAGTCACCAATTACGTCGACAAGACACAGAATGGTTGACCTGTTTCTTGTATCTCCCTAGAGCTCCAACCATATCCTCAGAAGGTGGTTAGACCCCCCAAACCCACCCCAACCACCTTCTCAAGAGGTGGTTGGAGCCTTGGGGTATATAGTGTTTTTATTGTAAAACAAAGGCTATTCGGTAAGAACCATAAATTCAATGGGGTCTGCTTACAGCCTATATAAATTAGAGATGATTCTGAGATGATTGTAAATCATAACTGTTGCAATCTATTACTGACTAATCAGCCTTTCAAAAGGTTCACATCACTCTTCTCAGCACAAGCACCAACCTCATCTGCGACCGCCCCAGCATGTGCCACAGGGTTCTCGCCGGCGAGAAATGATCCGAGCTCGGTGCAACGTGCTGTCTGCACCGTGCCGCCGGGACCTCGCCGCGACGCCTCATGCGCACCTCCAATGCGCGGCGGGCGTCGCTGCGTCACACCCCTGTGGCCGTCTCTGTGCCCCATTGGCCCCGTCCGTGAGGCGCCTGACGGTGAGTCCGGCGTCGGCGCAAGGCGAGGTCGGGGCGGGACGGCTCGTCGCGAGCAAGTGCGAAGCAAATCGATCATATGATGATGGGGAATAGCTACCTAGAACCCAGACATGACCCCTGTTTGGATCAGAATGGACCATATTTTGGGGTGGTTAGTGGTCCAAAATAGATATGGCCAGGTCCAAAATGGACTCTCTTGAAGAGGCGAACTGCCTCTCGTTCGCAGGCTCCATAGTCCTCGGTCTCGACGCCCAGGGTGGTCTCCAACATCTGTCGTTGAAGTTCAGAGAGGGCAAGCTTCTGCTTGAAGAACCATGCCTGCTCGCTGGGGTCCACAGTGATTCCTTCGGCCTTCATCTCGCCGATCAGGGTCCTGTACCGAAGAGCGAAGTTCGGCACACTCTCACTGCCACCACGACGAAGCTGCAGGTAGTACTTCTCCCGAAGCTCACCCTTGCGGTCTGTCTGTGACCTCCCAACCATGTCGTCCCAGGAGGCCAGGATCTTCTGGATTCCGGCGTCATAGACCGCGGGTGAAATCTCGATCATCTCATCGGTCTCATCATCCTTCACCTTCTCAGCTGGAGTGTATTCAAGTTCCTTTGGGTCGAACTCCAGCGCACGCAGCTTTGCATTTCCTTTCTGCCTCATAGCAAAGCGGGCAGCCAGGTTGTAGGAAGTGGTCTTCTCGAGGTCGATTGAGTGCAACCACCATTGGACGGATTTCTTGAACTCTCGAAGCGTCTCGCTCCGTCCATCCCAGACCGGTATGTAGCTGTCAAAGCCTCGGTCATCCTTCTTCTCGTCACTCATCTTCTCCGTCTCCAAGTCCACGTTGAAGTGGTCCGCCACCAGGCAACCTTCAATCCCTCAAAAGGGAGAGGCTTTTCGCCACCAGGGAAGTCCGTGTCCAGGTCGTCCACGTTGTAGTTCAGACGTAGTCCAGACCACGAAGTCGAAGTAGTCCAAAGCCAGGTCGGGCAGACCGCCCAACACCAAGTAGTTGAGGCCAACAGGCCAAAGCAAAGTCCGCGTCCACGAAGAAGACGAAGTAGCACTAGCGAAGTCCACACGCAGGGCAGCGCTATGGCACGAGGGTCGACAGCTCCGCTGCCACTGTTAAACAGCGGAGGTTCAACTACACCTAAACAAAGGGGTAAAGAACGCTCGCAGACTGTTTCGCACGGAGCCAGATGCTCAAGGCGCCTGCGGCGACAACAGTGAAACATGTCCGAGGGCCATCCATGCTCTTTCACAATTGTTTACTGACGGCTCTACAGGTAAGTTCGGACAAACCCCCAGGAAAAAACATGTGCTATACAATAACATACAAACCACATACGCATCACATCACCAAACAATCGCCACAAGTGGCGCTCCTCTCAGGTTTACCTGAGAGTCCATCTCATCGCCCACGCGACCCGTCACGGGACTCACCACGGTCAATCCCCCGTAGGACGCGAAAAGAGAGGACCACACACAAGAAAACCACACACGCAAGTCAGGTGAGCCCAACTCACCTTCCCAAAGCTCTCAAGTTCTTTTTATTCCCTAGTAGCCTAGAGCTCCAACCATATCCTCAGAAGGTGGTTAGACCCCCTAAACCCACCCCAACCACCTTTTGAGGAGGCAGTTGGAGCCCTAGGGATTAAAGCAGTGTGTCACTCGTGATCGAACTCGTACTAGTCGGGACTTGGAGGAAAATGCGACCGGAAAGGCATCGATCTTCAAAAAATACCACAGTGGTTTCAGAGTAGATGGCACAAACCCCAAGATGTCTTCTAGATGGGGATCCAGATAAACCACCTTTTCGGGATTGTGCAATCTACTTACTCTCAATCCACTGTAATACTAGTGACTCCCAAGCGCTCCCAGTGGACAAAGCTTCGGTGACCGCCGGTGACTCACTCCAGAGAAATAAGGAACGAAGCTCAGCACACTACTGTGTTCTAGGCTTGCCCTCCTCAAGCGCAAATACTCAAGTGAAACAGAGATCCTAAAACAAGTTCAGACAAACCATGTGGGCAGAAGCACCATCGCCCTGTACCCATCGCCAACGTCCACAGCACGCGCAAAGAGATGAGCCCAAGCTCCACGTATACACGCTCCAGAGCTTAACAGAATCAGCCTGGGTTTCAAGGCCCTGCATCTGGGGGCTGCAAGCTGCCCTATTGTTATGTGTTGTTTTTAGCTGGCTCACTTCTTACTTGGGTCAGTCAGAGTATGGCCAATACTCCTTCTGCCAACTACCAAGCAGTGTGCCAAAACACATGAAGAACAAAAAGGAACCCGATCGCATGCCCTTACCATAGAAAACCATGTATACTATATATATATGTGTTTATTTTCGTGTCATATGTGTCATATGTGTGATTCAACTTGGACTTTTCAAATTCTATGCTTCATGAAGCCATCAAAGAACAGGGCCGACCCAGCTTGCCCACCTCAGCTTGCTCGTGCCACTGAACCCGGTGGCAAGGCACCCACCTCGGAGAATCTGCGGCCACCGCGGAGCGTCCGGCCCCCCGTCCGGCTTCGTTGGTTCCAACGAGAACAAGCACAAGCCTTGACACGTCACAAGGGGGACAAGCAGGCACCGTACCCGAAATGAGGGACAAGCAGCGTTTTTTGAAGCAGCGCCGCACCTGAAATACACCACCCTCTCTCTTTCTCTACCCTGGTTCCTACTGGATCTCCATGTTTCAGTAGGCTTGGAATCAAGTTGGCTCGGTCCATGAAGGGCATGACGAGGCACAGAACGATCATCCGTTTCTGCGCCTCCACCCAGTGCTTGGGGTGGTTTGAGGAGCTCAGTCTCTACCGTCTCAGGCTGTGGTTGGAGGCCTATGATAGGGTTTTTGAAGTGTGGAAGTGTTCTCAAGCTTCCATGCTCCAGGTGGCCCACAACCAGCTCTCAAAGTGCACGACAACATGAGGCAATGCTGTCAACAGCCCTTCCCAATCCAGTGGACACTGCACTGTTCATTGTTCCTCTTCAGAAAGGCCTTCCAAAATCTTCTAAATGCATCTTGTATTTCCCGGCCCCTTCCTTTCGTGGTCTCCAAATAGACTTCCCTTCCCTCCTCAGACTGGTAGAACCATGTATATCCGCTTCGGTAAGAATATTCCATACGTCCATACACGGATTGCTAGGGGTTGATACTTTCTTCCAAAATTGCCAACAACCTCTCAAGCTCGACCAAGTCTTTACAATTACAGTATCACCCCTGGTGAACATTTCGCCGTTTTGTGTTTTGGCTTCGTCATCTGGTGGCGATGGTTGCTGGGTGCCCCCGACAGCCAATGGCATCCTGGCGTCGGAATTCCAAGGTGGAAGAAACCCAGGAGGGGGGCGGGGGGGCCTTATTCCCTATAGCCTCTAGGGCTCCAAACGGCCCATCAGACTTCGGTGGTGACTGTTGACCCATCAGACTACGCACTCACTCCAAGCACCTTCTCCTGAGGAGGTAGTGCTGGGAGTGGGTAACCACCGGAGATGGCAGTGTTTAGATCCTACATTGGTTGAAGAGGCGTAAAGGGAGGCACAGATTATTGCTAGTCCCATTGGAATGTGTGGGTGAATTATGTTGATGTGTGTTTCAATTTGCCTTGAAGGTCTAGATCGATGGCCCAAACAGCTTAATGTTGGATCTTGACTAGTAAAAGGGATTCCCCCCTTCAGATAAACAAATGGGAGGCCTTCTATAACAAACTACCACAAAAATAATCTGGGTTTCTGGGAGGATTCCTTGTGTAATTGATTGTAGTATTCATTTTCCTTTCTCAGGTTCTTTGTAATTGGATGCTATCAGCAATCCGTTTATACTACTAAGAAGAGGACAAAGAAGGTTCTCTGGTTCTCTGCGGCTTCGAAGAAGAACTAGAGAAACCCATATATATATATATTTACCAATCAATGCTCTCAGCAAGCCAGCCAGTGGCTTAGTAGTATTCATATGTTTTTTTGTTGAATTGATGAAACAACTTTGCACAATTGAGGATCCTGGAAACAAATTCCTTATTGAGGATCAGGAGCCTTTCTGGTCTACTATCTTGAAAATTTGTCTAGGAGCAATCTTTACATAAGGGATTGATTAAGGAATCGATGGCTTTGGGAAGCTGTCAGTTTTGAAGAATAACTAGAGAAGCCTATATACTTATCAATAATCTCAGCAAGCCAGCCATTGGCTTAGTAATCTTACCTGGGGAAACAAGATACCAAGAAAACGTAGTACATTTGAAAGAAGACGATTTTATATACGAAAACACAATGTTTTCCAACATGTGTGTTTTGGATCTGACGGCACGCACCTGAATTTCGGACACAAGTCACCAATTGTCGACCTCACCAAGAACACTTTTCACCCGGATCGAGAGTGAGCCTTCAACATGCAGCTATGAGCCTAAGAACTCACAAATGGCATCTGGTTGTCTGGGATGGAAAACAACATATTTTTAGTATGGGTTAGTATACGGGTTCCGTACGGGTTAAATATAGGTTCTCAAAACACAATGTTTTTTGCGGCAGGTCAAAAATACGGGTTCCGTATGGGTTAGTACGGGTTAAGTACAGGCTCCGTAGGGAAAATACGGTGTCTTATGTTTTCAGTCAAGTCGCCCTGCAAATTCACAAAAAGGCTATTGAAATGACCAAAACAAATGGAAGAATCGGAAGAAAATGCTCGACATTTGGTGACTTACGGATCCATTAAGGTCCCACGGCACGCACCTGAAAGCAGGATCCGGGAGACAGGTGTTTGTTTGTGGTAGCCAGGGCTGAAGACTTCAGTGGTTTTACCAAAAGACGATCTTTTTCGAGAAAAGACAATGTTTTCCATCTCTTCCCTAGAAAAAAACGATGTTTCATCCACGAGCCTACAAATTGTTAGTGTTTTGCTTCTCTATAGGTAGTAGTATTGTCAGATCTCCCAATGATTTTAGACCCTAATGAATTGCCTTTCAACACAACAATAGGATGCAACAAAAGGTTATTTAATAGAGAACCCTCCAGCGCATACTTCTCCACTCCGTATCATGGTCCACGCTCCGCCCCGTTCGCCCGCGCCTTCCCTCGTTCGAGTATTGTCGTCCGTGCCAACTCCCCTCGGTGGAACACCGATCGGAGGAACCGGCAGACCGCTGCCGACCCGGTGGCGACCCGGATCGCTGGTTTCAAACGGTGAACAAGAAGGCAGCGCTTTTCGAATATATGTACCCAAAAGAACACGGGTTTTTCACTGGTATTTCCTTCAGGTTCTAGTGATTTCCAGGGTTCTATTGCCTGAGTGACCTTGACCTCTTGGACCACCAACCACCCTGTTCTACGGATATGTTCCTATCAATGACGGTCATGGGAACTGGGTTCTACAGGTTACCTCGAAGTTCCCATGTCCAGTTGCTCACCTTTGGACAAAAAATGGGGCTCTTGTGGAGTGAAAAACAGACATGGGGGGCGGCTGGGTGGATGATGAGGTTGCAGGCCGTCTGTTCAGAAGTCGTGATATTCGATATGTGATCAGTGTGTACCGACTGTTACAGTAATGGAACATGGACAAACCCTATCAAACATGGACCAGACCTGGTGTTTATGTCGTCTTTCCTGGCTGTGCAAAGGTGTGTCTAGGAGAAACCGGAACACAGCCGATTCGAGTGATTTCGAGCTGAAGGACTCGAACGGGCCTCCGGGACATGAAACCAGCACCTTCTGAAACAAAAAGAACAAGGGACCTCCTCTTGGAAGCTCCTTGAGTCAATTCAATAGGCTTCTTCCAAGTGACCTTTCTTAGAGTCTTCAAGCGACGTTTTCCATGATCAACTGACCTCAAACCAGGGGATCCAAGGCCACTTTGAAGAACCAGGTGCTGTGGTTTGAGAGATGATGGCACTGGCACCCCAAAATGTCTTGAAAAAATGGGGATCCTTATGAACTACCAACATTGGGGTAACTTGTGCCATCTAGTCTCAATCTGCTGCGGACTGTCCTTTTATTGCAGCTCTCATGGCGGAGCCATCTCCATCTGAACAAGGGTCCCGTCGCAATTTTGGTCACCTATCATGAGAGCAGTAAGTAAAAAAGCAGCAACATTCACATCAAATTGTTTTTCCAACAAAAAATGGTGATAACAGGCAAAAGGAAACAACAAACAACAAACAACCAACAACAACAACAACAACAACAACAACAACAACACCAGCAACAACAACAACAACAACATCCCCAACGATCTGGCACCCAGATCCCACACGATCAACCCCCGTCCCCGCCTTCTCGGAGGAATGGTGGTGCTGACGAATTCTCGGGGGCCTCGACGCGTCTCGGCATCGCGTGCAGCAAGCCATGTGGTGGCATGGCGTGGTTCCGGGGGCAAGGTCGACTCGGCATGGTTTGTGGGGGGCGGCAGCCATGGTTCTTGGAGTTGTATAATACATATCGTCATCTGGAGTAATCGTATGATCTTGAAGAGTGGTGACCTCTTGTACATGCCGGGTGCTGCTGATGAATATGCACGCCACGCAGAGAAAATTGACCAGAGACGATGAATGTTACATCCAAAAAACTGATTCTTCAAGAAACACCTTTGAAGTATCTTGAAGTCAAATATACACAGGGCTCCGCCATGCGAAAGACCGCAACAATGCGGGCCCCCAGAAGGGTTCAGTGACGCCTCATGGACGCCTCCGTCGCCCAGAAAACCGCCGTGCGGTGCGCCTGGGAGCCTTCGAGGGCTCGGGGAATGCCATCTGGGCGGCGTGGTCAGCGACGGCTCGGAGCCATGGAGGGGGCCGTATGGTGGTAGCATGTGGTACCCACAGAAGAACCCCCCGAGCTTTTTCGATTCGTGGACCATTTGCGGTTGGATTGAGTGGGAAAACCAATCCCCTATATACCCTAGAGCTCCAACCATATCCTCAGGTTCGGTGGTTAGACCCCCTTGGCACCCACCCCAACCACCTTCGAAACGGAGGCAGGCCAGGAGCCCTAGGGATATATAACAAGAAACCATTGTTCAGATCGATAGGAGTCTGAATTGTTCTTTCCAGTCTGATTCCGAGAGACTTGATCTTGCGCATCTACCACGGTGTTCAGGTCACACGATTCAAGAAAGTGCGCTGCCCCCGCGAGCAGCTCATGTAAAACAATCATTTGAACAGTTGTGCTTGACACCCACAACACATCAAAATAACATGTGAAAGACAAAAAAAACACAGACATATATTACAGAAATGCAACTGCCCTATGCAAGACGCACGCACACACACACACACACACTATTTCCAGCAAGGACAAGCAGGGGTCTGAGTTCCACCATCTGTCCGGTCGGTCGACGGTTTCTCTGGCTTTCCAAGGGTTCAGACGCGGACGCCGTTCTGCAGAATCACAGGCTTGTACCTGTGGAGGTCAGCAGTGCAAGACGGGGTGGTATTTAGTCCCCAAGTGAGTTGATGTTCTGGGCACCCCTAACCTCCATGGATCGCACCCCTTTGTGACTGCAGGATTTTGGGAGGTTCCCTTCATGGAGCCGCCGAACTGCCGAACATGACGCCGCCAATCCCCCAGCCGTGGGCACTCATCCGGCACGCTCTCGTGCATGACCTTGGTGACACCGGCAGAAAGTTTGGAACGGACGAGGTGGAAAACAAAGGTGGGAGCCCAGGCTCTTGCTGGATCCCCGGAATTCCACAAGTCAGGGGACGCAGGGGATATAGGTCTAAGGCTTGGAGTCTTTGGTCACTGCATACATCTGGATGTTCTTGGAAACCGGATCTGGGTTGGTCGACGCCCCATTGCTATTCTCTAAGTGGTGGAGAATGGCCCCGGATGAACCGCCCTGAAGAGGGGAGAACATCAGGGTCCTTGGAGTCAGTTGATAAAGGAACCCTCTAGAGCTCTCTGAGTTAAAAGGTAAATATATAACTGCTGGGAGTGCTTGGATGACTGATTCTCGTTGGAATTGGCAGCATCTGTCCCCGCAAATCGCATCTCCTATTTCAACCAGGACTTCGGGAAACCAGGACTTCAGGTCGTCGTGGTGGCCGTTTTAATCTCATGGGTCAAAACATGGGTCGGAACGGCCGGGGGGTGGCTGGAGGTGGCTGATATTTGCGGGTTTTGGGGGTCCATGGGGGTGGCATCTCTTCCAGCTGCCAGTCCCAGACCAGACGTGTTTGTCTCACCAGACGGTAGGAGTTCCCAGCAGCATGAGTTCTACCCTCCGATCCAACGCCACATGAGTTCCCAGCAGGGCTGTTGCGGTACCGCTCAACATGGGCCTGCGTTTGGCGGAGGTGTGGACGAATTGAATATACTATTCCTATACATCATATCCACGCACGGATCCATGCAAGAGGCCAACAAAAACAACCAACTACAAGCGAAGAGAAAGGCAATGTGCCACGAGCAAAGACATTCTTGATGCATAACCTTCTGTCTGCGCTAAGATGCACTTAATCACCATCAGGCCAAAAAAAAGCTATAGACCATGCAAAGGGTGTCCAATGGAGATCTCTAAGTAGTGTAGGGTAGTCTATTGATGTCTATTGGACACCCCGACAGGATGGTCCTCGAACAATCCCGTTTACCATTTGTTGCACCTGAGGTGGGTGGGTGCCATTGCCGGGTCCAGTCATGCCACGAAGTCTGAGCCCAGTCGACTTGTGTTGACTTACTTGGCAGTAACATCACCCAATCCGCCAAGCCAGATGCCGCAGTGGGTCAACACAGGCGGACCCTGATGAACATCTTATTTGCCCAGCCAAAATGAACAGAAGACAATGACCAAAACATGCGAAACGGTGGAGCTACATGTCCACCTACGAAAGGAGCTGACCTACTTTCTGCCCGTCCGAGCCTCCAGCCCTTGATGCGGCCCACTCCAGCTCACACCACACACCTGCGCGCAACCAACAGATACCAACAGCTGACTGTTCCGTGGTCCTTTGGAAGGCGAAGCTTGGAGATTGGCACCCCCCATGTCCATCCGCTGGGCTCCAGTCGTACTACCTTCTAAACAGCTGGGAGTGAGGTGTGCCAGCCAGTCGGGTCCAGTCATACCAAACCTGAGGAGGTACGTATAACTTGGAGCCCCTACACAACCCGATGTCCATGTGAAATGTCATGTTTCATGTCTATATATATCCGGAGCAAAAAAACACAGGAAGACTATGATGATCCGTGCACTCGCATGGTAAAACTCACGAGCTCAAGCCTGAAAAACTATGGAACCCATTGAAAGCCAAGGAACATGCTCTTGCACGCATTTGTGGGCTAAGCACGCTTGTCTTTACGCTTGAACGTTCCCACCACAACCTACCTCATGATAGCTCCAGAACCTCGGCGTTGGGAACTACGTCTTCCTACCGGTTCCTCGTCCGGCGCGTCAGGAGCTCCGAGGACGCGGAGGATCGTGTGGCTCGTGCCTTCTTGCTGGGGAGAACCCACTTGGAATATCCACCTGCGTCGACGTGCCAGGAAGATGACATGGGACGAACAAAGCACGTCTGCGCGCACGTTCGGAAGACGTCTGCGGCAGACCTCAAAGCAAATCCAATAAGCAACAGGTCAATGACCATGCTGAGCCAGGCAGCTAGAAACAGTCAATTAAGAAAACAAACAAACAAAACATATAAAACGTGTATGCAAAACAAACAACAAACGATATATAATGTCGATACATAGGTCAACAGCTGTCCAAAAAAAACAAAGCAAAATAATCGCAAAGAAACATGTCATGAGTGAAAGCAAATTCCAGCACATTGAACACACGGGTCGCATGAGTGTAAGAAGGAATAACATAAGTCAATATATTTACTGTCATGCGGCCACACAACTGAGCTTTCATAGTTTCAGGTTGAGTAACAAAAGTTTACAATAAGTCGACACTCACTATATTCATTTTGTTACACTATAACTATAACATGACTTTGTCTTCTTCGTTCAAGTGGCTGCAATGCCGGTGCTGCTTGGATCTGCACAGAGACTGCCACACTCGTTGAAACATGAGCCCGGCTTGAAGCGAATATTTCGCGTCGAAGCAAAGCTTCGCTTGCTTTTCGGTTGGATCGCAGTGAACGACCAGGGCGAAGAAAAGAGACATGGTATTTTGTGCACGGACTCCCAGCTGATGACTAGTCACCTGTGCATCGGGGAAACTTGGGACACGGGTTCCGCTTCTCACGGCGCGGTGTTGGAACCCCCCCACTCCGACCCAACTGCTGCAGACTCCAAGACGGCTCCGAAGAAATGGCTTAGCCGGGGCGCGAAGCAAACCGAGCTCCGGGGTCGTTAGCAGGTGTCTGAAACCGGAAACCGCAAGTCATCACCCCATCCACACACTCCTCCCATGACCTTGCCAGAACGAAACATCCTCCCCTTTCTCCACCGAAGAAAAAGCCGACCAAACCCAAACGCCCTCCGGTTCCCCGGGTACCTCCGCTCCGGCGTCCTCTGCGGGACGATCGGACTGGGCGTCCCGGGCTGAATTTTTCCCAGAAGAGTGGGACGTAAGAAGGATCCACCAAGTTCACGAACCTCGGGGCGCGGTCCACGTCCAGGAGGTCTTCGTCGTCATGTGCGTCCGCTGTGCGTCGCTGTGGTCGTTCTTCCGCCACGGTTTCACGTCTAAACGTTTTTTCTTTTTTGTGGTGTTGGTTGCGGGTTGGCGACAGAGCTGCTATGTTGTGAACTAAGAACTTGGCAGGACAACGGCGGATCCATTTCGGGGCAGCCCTGAGAAGTATGAGATATTATTGTTAGTATAGCACATGGAAGACTAAGACTTTGGACTGGTTCGGGAACCATCACAACATTCACGCAAATCTGGGTGTTGAGGCTGATTGAAGAAGCTCAAGCCATCTTAAACCAAACCATTCCTGGGGAACAGAACTTGATGCTTGCCCAAGGTGTTGGACCAACGTTTTGGTGTGGATATGGGTAGAAACATCGAGGACCGGGGAGACATGAGACCCATTTCTTGCACGACTTGGGATCAATTCAAATTCCGATTTCAGAAAATTGAGTCCAATGAGACCTACACAAGATTCTAGGTGAAAAATCATCCTTGGATAATATCCATGCAACAATGTGCAACATGTGTAAAGAGAAGCTGCTGATACCGATCCTTGATCAAACAACCAACAAAGTGATGGCGCCTGCACTCCATGAAATAATAATGGAAGTGGAGTTCACCACCTCTTTGTAGAGGATTTGATGGACATCCAAAATCGACAGAAAAATGCAATCCACTTACCTATCCACTTACCTATTTTATAATGATGATTTGATGGAGTTTCTACACTCAGTGAAGGACCCAACACCAACACCCCAGATCCAAAACCATGCAACCCCGATCTCCGCGATCAGGCGATCAAGGTCTCCTTCAAGCTCTCAAGGTGATCTCTTGATGAAACCACTTGGGTAAGTCACGACGAACCAACTGGACATCATATCTTTTGGTCAGTTCCTGTCAGTACTTGACTCAGCATTGAAACAGGACTGACTCACTTCTGGGAATGCATAAACAGCTCAGCCTCACTGTCTAGCCACAAAACAAGAAAAAACATCGCTCCGCCTGAAAAAAAATTGAAAAACGCCAATGGCCATCCGAGTGACGCGTATCCCAGGCAAGCGCAGGACTGAAAATCAATGGGCAAGTACAAGAAGTTGTACCTTTCGATGTCCTTCTGTCCAAACTTATTAGAGTTAATGAGTTGACCGATTTCCTCACTTCAGGTCTCTTCTTCTGTCATCTTCTGTCCAAATTTCGAGTTAAAATTGGTTGACCGATTTCCTGACTTCAGGTATCCCCTTCTTTTTAAATCAACCAACTAAATAGTATGCATGATAAAAAGGCCAACTAGACTGACGAACCTACCTGGTCCTCACCCGAAAAGCTCAGACCGTCAGCAGGTCGACTGGGCGTGACCTCTATAGAGCTTCGATCCCTTGGGAATCGCGGCCCAGCCGGTCGGCTGGGCCACCCGCCCGGGTCTCTTTTTGATACAAAAGCCTCCTCACTGGTGCAGTGGTCGTCCTGAACTTGTTTTGGGACGCTTCTTGTTACCTACATCAATCTTCCAAGATCTGCAACATCTGCCTTTTCATCCATAAAAGCAGCCCAGGTTCGGCAGAGATGTTGCATACTTGGAAGATCTAGGTAGATGTTTTCCTGGAATCTGGGAGTGGCTCACATGAGGTATACGCCATGAACATACAGTTGCTTGAATGAAATCTTTCAAGGAGAACTTGCTGCAGTCCAAGGACCGGTTCATGGGACCTTGATCTTTTCTCTCACCGTTGACGAAGGACCGAAGGACCGCTGAAATCCACTGATCCTTCAAAGAAGCTTCGCAATCCCCAGAAAGGCTCAGCACGATCAATCCAACAGAGTTCCAACACATGGTGCGCAGCAGAGCTGGCGCCAGCGCACTTCCCCTCAAAACCCTCATTGTCCAGCATTGCCATCCTGGGCAAAAACGCCGACGCAAACCGCGATGGAAATGCGACGGAAACCATTTCGTGGCTCGCTCAAAAAACAGAGCTGGTGACTGAAGAGGATGGTCTCTTAAGGAGACTGGTATGGCAGTGGGTGATATACCTCTTCCAGCTCCTTCGCTACATGGTGAGCCAGGGCTCCAGATTTTGACCCATCCATCCCCATCCCCAAATGGTGTGACCCTCGAGCTGCTTGCTCTGTGGGGGGGGATGTGGTGAGCAATGCCTCCAACAGGGTAGGGGCGCAGCAGGATGTGAGCACCTGTGAGGCCTCAACCTGCCGAAAGAAACTCATCCGCACTACGGAAAGCGTGTCCATTAATAAATGGCCCCAGAGGTCAAGGGGTGTCCATTAACCACCCCTTTGGGGTCCAGGATGAAGTTTGACACCTGGCAGGGCGATTCTCATCTACCACTCGGTTTCAGGGTCCATTCGGGTTCATGATGCCACTCTGCAGTGTAGTTGTCCCAGGGAAAAAGCTGACACTTACATCAACCCCATACCCTAAGGATCCAAGTACCCTCGTTTCGAAGGTGGGACTGGGGTGGGTGCCAGGAGGGTCCAGTCGTACCTTTTGAGGAGGTATGACTGGATCCCTAGGGAACCCCATAGTAGCTTCTTGTTCTTGCTCTGTTCGTAGCGATGCCAGGAGCCCCGGTGCAGGTTTCGACAGCTCGACGCGATCAGCACCAGAGATGGATGGTCAACCCAGGGAGGGGACCTGGAGCCCCTAAGGGTGGTTCATGGACACCCCTGTCCATGTGGTGCTGGGATAGATGGATTAATGATTAGTGTTCCAGGTTTTGACCTCATTTTTAGAGGCTCCCAGAAGTCCCCAGCGGCGAAATCCAAAAGGGGACCACTGAAGTGTTCAGGAAGGTCTTGAACTCGGGTCCAACGAATTTTCAAAGCATTTTCTTGAAATAGGACCTTCAGAGTCAGCAGCTCAGTCCCAAGAATCAAGACAGCATGGTCCACCCAACAGAATCACCACCTACCCCAACCTGCCACGTGGACCTGCCCCACCGACCCCCACCAGGGACCCCAACAGCATGGCCCGGGTGTAGTTGTTCGGCAGGTTCCTCAGCATCACCTGGGTCCGATCTTGGCATCTCTCGGCAGCCAAGATACAACGTGTTGGTCATGACTGGGTCGTATCCTGCCAGCTCATGTTGTGTTTCTTGTGTTTTGTTGTGTTCTATTTTTGCCCCTGGTTTTTTCGATCTGTTTCAATTAATATTAGTTCACGTTGTGTGATTGATTTCGAAAGAAGAAACGGTTGCATGCAGTCGACCGTCGGGACAAACCGCACCAGTCGACCATCGGGACAAACCGCACGTCTTCGACGCAACACCATCGACATCGACGCAACATGTGACACTGGACTGGGTGCCCAGGCCGTAGTACATTCCTCCAACGGCAAATCACCTTGGCGTACGATGGTTGTGAGAGTTGGGTCGGTGTACACTTTTTCAAGGCTCTGTCCCGGACCTCAAGCAAAATGGAACTGGACATCCGTTGATATGGTTCACAGGTTAACGTATATATTCAGGTTCGATTCTTACTTCTATGCCAGTTGGACCCATGTGTTTTTTGGACAAATGTTGCCCTCTCAGACTCATGCTTGCAAGAAAAATGAACAAACAAACACCTGTCAAACAGCTGGAAAGGCTTGAGACTCTAACCCTAGGGCTCCAGTCGTACCTTCTGAGAAGGTGTTTGGAGTGGGTGCCAGAAGGGTCCAGGCATACCTTCTGAGGAGGTATGACTGGAGCCCTAGGGTAAAACAACTAAGAACAGTTCAAGCATCTCTTCGTTATCATGACGGTTCTTACATGTTATTGGATTCTGCAATTCTCACACTACACCTATTGTTTCCACCCAGGAAAGAACTCAGAACCACCAGTAATCACCTGATTGTTACTTTAACTCGACAAGCAGAAGCTCTGTTGTAGCAAAAACAGCAGCACCACCACCACTGCAGCACCAACACCCACCCAAAAAGAACAACGACCCTGTCTTCATCCGATTTATTCCACTTCAGGAGAGTCACGAGAGGTTGCCTATGGTGGGTCATGCGTCATGCAAAAGTGCTATTCTTCGAAGAGTATGGAGTACTTTGACTACCAGTGCTGTCCCACAAAGACGCAATGGAGTACCCAGCGAAGCAGTGGTGCCATCGAATCCAAAACCGCCCGAGTGGTAGCCACCTGTTTGCTACCTTTTCCTATCCCTTCCTCTACTGACTCCTGTTCCGCAAGATTTACTCCACCAGTTACGTTTTCATGCGCAAATTCGCAAGACCCGTGCCGCATGCGCCGGCTTGGTGTGCCGGACATTCAGCAGGTTTGACCGACATGTTCGAGGCTCGTAGCTTGCCTGTGCGAGCACAACTGGGAAGCACAAATGCTGGGACTCATGGGATAAATATGGCTGGTTACATGTATTAATACTTCAGTGGATGATGATGGGGCCTGGTTGCAGGCCTTGTTCCAAAATAGCGATTTGTTTGCTTACTGACTGTAACAGCTAATAGGACAAACCCCCAAAAAATGGAACATAGTTACACATGGAGCAACGGGGTACATGAGTTCCATACATCAATGCTCTGGGTATGGCATGGTGTGTGATGTGGACGTTGGGTCGGAGACCACCTCTAACTTGCCCATTGATGCCATCAATCCCTGATCGCCCCAAACCAAACGCGCCAAACATACTCTCAAAGCTATTGAAGTCCAATGCACAAGTGCATGTCGGACAAAAACACGGAGCGTGAATGTTCTGCCCGACAAAACAATGACTGAAACTGGATACAGCTCGACTGCTATGGCAGCCTTCTGCTACACAAATGACAACACCATAAACTTGAAAAAACACACAGTTAACACAACGACAACGACGTTGTAACAACGATACACAGTGACCTCTTTTGCGCGCGGTCACCCAGCTCCATTGCAAGGTGTCCAATCTCGTCTGGGGCCCAAGCTTGTATTCTTCCAAGCCTCCTGGAGCCACTGCTGTCGCACGTCACGGCTTCATTTTATCCATTTGGTTCTTGCTGTGCCACACATAAGTGCATGTGAGCTTCTGCCTGGACCAATGGCTGTTGGAGTAACAAACAGAAAAGCTTGCTGTGCGACTGGCATCAAAAAAGGGCCCGTCCGCTTCCACGTGGATGTTTCTTCGTCACGTTCATGAATGGGATCCCTTGCCCCTTCCCATCGGTTCGACAACAAAAAGACCACTAAAAAGACCCTGAAAAAAAAAACCGGCCGCCAATGTTCTCAGTGGAAGAAAAATCGGGATCATGCGCAAGCCAATTCTAACTGTAACTCTTTGCATCTTCATTGCCAACATCAATCTCTTTAGCACATACCAGAAATTCAGCACTTGCTCCAGGTGTCACTCGAAGACGCCAAGGTGTCACTCGAGGTCTGGCCGGGCCTTTTCTTCCTGCTTGAGCAACGTCTGGCGAATCTATAGCCTGGTAATGTAGAATCTTATTTGGATTGTAGAACCCCTTCATAATCTTCATATATATGGGTTCTATGAATCAGTCCTTAGGACTCCTGGATTTGAGCATCACTGGTCACTTTCGTCGTCAATATGCCACTCTCCTTGTCCACACCTCACCCCCCCTCAACCCCTTTTAACACAATTGAGAAATTCACCACGGCGAAGGTCGCTGAACCTCACCGCACGCATCGATCGAACTCGACGGAACTCGAGTTTTCGTCCTCCAAATCCGCATCTTTCTGACCTCAACGGAACACTGGCATGGCAAGCGAGACAGAATCCAAACAGGTGGTTTCTGGGCACCTGTTGCCACCAGGAAACACCTGTTGGAGGGTGCTGGTCTATGATCGTGAAAAAAGATGCGGGAACGATGGGAACACCTCGCAGGGGATGTTCACTTCGCTACGTAGTACCTCCTCTTCAGGTCTCCAAAATATCTGAATCATATTATTGGGATGTGGAACCAAGTGACTAAGTGTTTTGGCTTTAAGCATAATATTGTTACACAACAAACATGGATTTCACTGGTACCCGTACCACAAACCACTTGTGAAACACACGTGCTGTGCTGTGCATCCAGTGGAAATTTGCAGTGCAACGTCGAAGTTCGCAAGAAGGGCACGAAGCTATGCTGATATACCTCTGGCCCAACAAAATCACCACATGCATCCATAGTGGCATACCCTATAAGTACAGAGCTCTCAATATTGTGGCATATCAACCTAAGCCTCTCGGGCCTCTCGGCCAACATCCAGATGCTTCGCTGGTGCCCACCCACGTCTGGGGAACTGGTTTATGTCGGGTGGGGCCTCCAAAATCACCCCGAAATCACCCTAGAGGTGTAGATAGCTAGAGGTCATGTCTGGGACCTCCGTTGTGATCGGAAAAGACCACATGTTGGGTAGTTGATGGTTGGTGATCCAAACTATCACCAAACTAGAGGTCGCTCAGGTTGCTCCATATCTGCCATCCTTCGTGTCGCGACTCCTCCTCCGCCGGACCTCCCCTCCGCTCCCCACGGTCCACCTCGTAGGCTCGACCGGCGGTTGCGGCGCGCCATCTGCGGAGCCATGGTGAGTCGGGGTAGACCGGTCTGGGAGTGGAAGAGTAACACACGCCTAGGGATCCAGTCGTACCTCCTCAAAAGGTACTTGGACCCTCCTGGCACCCACCCCAGTCCCACCTTCTCAGAGGGTACTTGGATCCTTAGGGTACCATGGGTGTGTAGCTCAGTGTCATGGGAGAAGACAGTGTAGGGAGAGTGGCCTTCCTGTCTGACTCTGACTGGAAGAGTTATATACCATGGGTGTGTAGCTCAAATAGGGAGAGACCTCCCAAAACCCCCCTAGGAAGAAGGAGAACTGACCAAAAGCAATTTGTTGGGGATCTCCGTCTGTTCAATACACACCCACATTTAACCCCATTGATGACGCCAAAATGTAGAACAAACCGGATGGTCTGGGTGCTACAGTGACCTACTCCTGGTGCGCCTCAGTTCGTGGAACGATCCCCTGCTTTGAGGTCACTGAACTTCACAGCCCAGGCCTGTAAAACTGGATTGGACTCCACAGCCCAGGTCGAGAACTGAAGAAGCTGGCAGGTTTTACCTTTGGATCGATGAAGAAGCCCGCACCGGATCCACCGTCGCATGGTGACCTGGATGGATGAAGCTCCAAGCAGTCCAGGTGTTTATGTTATCTCTTCGACCAGGTGAACGGGCCGTGCCGCTCATGTGATGTGATGTGATGTGCGATGTGTGTGTGTGTGTGTAAGTGTGTAAAACGGCTTCTCCTTTCTTGCTGTCCACACTATTCCACACGAGCATCCAAATTCTCCAACAAAAGTGTGTGTGTGTGTGCGCGCGCCACTCTCAGTGTTTCGGAACCTCCGGTTGCAGGGTCAGCGGCATTCACTGTACCCTTCAAGGGTATGATATGTTCAGACTCCCAAGTAGGACACAATATCCAGTGATCTTGTACAAAACCACGCTGGACAGCGCACCTTGCCCGAATCGCTTTGCTCCTGCGTGCGAGCAGGGTGTGAACGGAAAGCGACCTGTGTGTTGCACTAGCCGTGTGCATGGTCATGCATGGTCTCTCCCCTGTCCCCAGTAGCAAAGGATTAACATATTTGTCTTCAGTCAAACAGTTCTCTTTGAGAAGACTCTGGCCATATTGCTGTTGTTCCACTCTCTGCGCGAGCCCAAAAAGCACCCCTGGCAAAAAAACGGGAATCACCAAGAATAAGAAAGACACTTCCGAATCGGATGGTCCAAATGCCACTGGCACACATGGCCAGACCCTGTGTGGTGCAGATCACAGGGTCGGTGTCTCAACCCCCCCGGTCAACCGCTCCACCGAGCCGGTCCACGCCGGGCGGTCCGAACGGTGCTCCTTGCCCATCAGGTCCTGGCTGTGCCTCGTTCGTGAGGAGTGCGGACGTGATGGGGCTTGCTTCCACAGCTGTCCACCACCCACTCACTGCGCGTTCTGAATCATTATACCCAGACACTCCATGTATGCCATATATGCCTACATTGACCACCTAAACCACCCCAATGTAGGCATATATGGCATACATGGAGTGTCTGGGATATATGGTTTGATCGTGTTTCGTTTGAGAAAGGTACCATGCCCTACCACCCTCGTCAATTTGTCCCCCGTAAACCTGGGTGCACACCGTCTGCATTGAAGAGAAAAGCCTGCAGGTCAAAGGAAAGTACCAAGATACCAAAGGCACCAAGAAGTGCTCAAAGGCCACATGCTATTTCTTTCTCCACGTAGCGCGGAAATGGTCTGACCTACACTGAATGGCCGGCCAACAGAGCTCTTGATCCTGGACTTTGCTAAATCACCTCACCTTTCAGAGGGCATCACCTTTCTCCAGAATTTCAACATCGATCAAGCCTGATGCATCCAAGCAGCAAATCAAAACAAGGAAAACCACCCCCAGGCCCCCCGGTTCAATATAGTTAGACAGTCCTAGGTCCTAGTAGCTGTCCTGGTATTTTGAAATATCCCAGACACTCCATGTATGCCATATATGCCCACATTGACCCCCCAAACCACCTCAATGTATGTAAATATGCCATACATGGAGCGTCTGGGTATAGAGATGAATCATGATGAATCCATATCAAACCCAAATAATGACATTCCGAACGTTCACCACGACCTTTTTGGAAGACTCAAAGACAATAAAACCCGACCACGCCCCGGTGTTTTGGGGGGGGACATCGACATCGACATCGGCCACCGAAGTCACACAGTCAAACACACTGGAGAACAACACAGCTTCAGATTCCAACTGAGCAGGTTCACCTCTTTGACCCATCGCTGGCACTGCTTTGACACCGACAGGAAAACGGGGGGTGGACACCCGGTCCCCAAGAACCAGTCGTGTCCCCAGTCCTAGCCACTTGGTTGTAAAGGATCTCAATGGTCATGTTGAACAACCCCACGACCGGACTGCCAGTTCGGACTGCCGCCCCAGAAAGACCCCCTGTCAACCACCCCAATTGATCGGCAGTCCCATGGCAGTCCCATGGAGTGTCTGGGAACCCATGATTGGTTCTTTGGGTTTCCAGCTATAACACACACGAGTTCGCGTAGTAGCTGGCGACTTTGTCGATGTATGATATGGCTTACAGCTTCGCCAGTCACCATCCACTTCGAGGTGTGGTAGATCACATCAGCTACGCTTTCTCCGTCGATCCGGAAGCGAAGCTGAAAAGTCTTCCGGTCTTGGTCCCGTCCTCATAAGCTAAGACACGGTGAACTTGCTCAAAGTCTACAAAACGTTGGATTAAAAATAAGCTTAGCAGCTAAGACTTTGTTCTAAACAAAAGGCTTTGTAGACTTGGAGCAAGTTCACGGTGTTTTGAGCAACAAATCCATACAAATCTTAGTCTCAGAAGCTCTGCACAAAAGTTGTTCACCATCAGGCTACCAGCAGGATGAGGTGACTTCTAGTGCAGTGAGAGATGGCACAAAAAAAAGATGCACAATACTCATAATATATATGACATCTAAGAAGGATGCCTTGACCATGCCGTTCTGCCCATGCCTTCCCCAGTCTACAGCGGAAGCTAACCCTTCCGCCGTTTGGACTCACCGGGACCTGCCGACCAAGCGGCGGAATTCCCGCCATAGCGGGAACCCAGGAATCCGTGCTGGGGTCCTGCGTTGACGGCGGTAACGGAGTGGGCGTCCGAAGCCGAAGACGGAGAAACGTCAGGGATGATGGCAACTGAGGTCATGACTGACATTGGGTATATGATATCTACCAGTAACAGTGGATGATGATGATGATGATGATGATGATGATGATGCTGGTGGTGGTGGTGGTGATGGTGGTGGTGGTGGTGGTGGTGGTGGTGGTGGTGGGGGGGCGCAAACCTTTTGATTATATTTGACCGAATTTCATGGACTGTGACTTGTAATGGGATACACCCTGATTAGACATGGACTATAGATTCGCTAGACCATAGACCATAGATATTATACAGTCAATATATTGGATTGGTCGAGAGTCTAGATCTCATGGTCTCTCAACTGACTGAGATTCTGCCACAAGCATGGCACACCATGACCCACATGAGCATAATACAATCATATATAACCGTATAACATATAACCATCGGCCCTTCTTAAGCTGTAAAGGGGCTTGCACATTCGATGACATCCCTTGCTTGGACATCCAATTGAACCTCGACCCGCCTGCTTGAACCTCACATATACCGTTTCTCACCCACCAGGCCGTAAACCCCCGGGCAACTCTCACCTCTGAGGTGGGACAGGTCCTGGTGCATCGTTTGACCTCCGGCATTCATGAAGTTCACCTTGGCTGCCATCGGATCAGCTGCCACTCCGTAGCGGTCGAAAAGGTCGGATTTCCTACGGTCCAAGTCAAAGAACCCTCCGCAGATGTGAAGTGTCCCAAACGCGGGCGAAAAACCATTGAAACATATTGAAACGTTACCAAGCTGTGAGGATGTTTGAGATGTTTGATCTTGGGAGAAGTTTGGCCATAGATGCGTGCTGAACGAAATTGATTTATACCCAAATGCTCCAAACAGCCCTTGGTCCCTCAAAACCTAGGGATTGGTTCAACCCCAGACCTCTCCACCTATATGAGGGTCCAACCCTCCAGAGGATTCGGGTCCAGGGTCGCGTCTGGGTAGCCGGTCTACGTTGTCTTGATTGAGCCATCGGATCCCAGCTCCATGTGAGCCATCCATGCGAAGAAGTCTTCGAAGAGTGCTCCGTTCAGAAGTTTCAGTGCGACTGACGGATGCTAGGTTCGGTGACGAGGTTCCATCGGTTCCACCAACCTTCAGACTCCGGAAACTGGTTATACGAACACACTGGACGAAGCCCATGTGTCCGCCACGAGTTTGGCTGAGGACCCCAGGAAAAATAAAGAAACAATCACAAGCACTGGCGAGGACAACCCAAGCCCGGCGCAGCTAGATGCAGCCTGTCCAGGCTGCCCAGTGGTGATGTCCAAAGCGATTTCGCAGTCCTCAAAAGACTCAATAGTGATTCCTACTTCCTGCTGCTTTCCCAAATTGCCATTCCTCCAGACTTTGGCCAATTCCGAGGGAAACCAGCATCTAATGTCCTTTCCAAGCCAGTCCCAGGCGTTTTCCCGCCCTTCGAGGAGAGGCACAGGCATGAACACTGCCCATTGCATGGCTTCTTGCCTCAAACGCCACGAGCCCAAGACATGGGAGGAGGGAACATACATAATAGATAACATATGATAATATGAACGCCATTCTAAGGCATCTTAATATGTTATGTATTATATATTAATATAATATGTACGCAATTGTAAGGCATAAATTTTAAGAAGTTATGTGTGATATATTAATATAAAATATAATAATATGATGCACGCAATTTTAACAGGGTAGCCGCAGAAGGGGGTGCTACTTTGGACCTGACGCTGACGACACATTCCGAAGACACATTCCTCCTCCCACCAGCAAGGTCTGGCGACAAGCACGCTGAGAACAGCAAAGACCCCTGACAACACAGAGACACTGACGAAACATTCGCCGACGACGCATTGAACCCTGACGACACAGAGACACTGACGACACATTGTGCAGACAGATTTCCTGGACAGACTTATTCTTTAAATAGTGTTTCCAGGGAAAACTGCCTCCACCAATGCTCGTGAAACAAACCGAGACTATAAACTGTAGGCACGCGCGCACCCGAGTTTAAAATAAGGTGTAGTGATGTGTATCTATTTATCCGCGAAAAGCTTCTCCCTGTATGTATGCAGGCGGTTTTTTTGTTTAGGGCGCTGAGGTGGAGTTCAAAACCATGTCTGGCGTATGTTCAGGGCCAGCATGATTCAAAGGCTTCCAACAACAAGATTCCAAGATTCTCTGGAAAAAAGGGGGGAAGTTTCCGTCTTTTTCCCTTGCAACTCTTTTTCCCATTTCAGCAAAGCCGTGGCATGTCGGACAATGTATTGGGTCCGCGCAAGTTGAATATCCCTGAGCATCGTATCTTGATTAGAATAAATATTTATTGATTCTGAGATATTGATTTTTCTCATATTGATTAGAATCAATATTTTCTCTTGATTTGTTTATTGATTTATTTATTGATTTGTGTATTGATTTTTGTATTGATTTTCTTATTGATTTTTATATTGATATTCTTATTGTTTTTTAAAATATTGATTTGTTTATTGATTTGGAGAACCCTGTCTGACATGATTTTCGCATGTGTGTGCAGCTGCTCAAGAGATAGGATCAAGACAAGCTCTCATAAATACAGCTGGTCTTGGAAAAGGCCAGATGTCTGGCAGAGGTGGGGCTAGGCACCATGCCAAACCCTTTGTGGATTCAGGGATCCTCTACAAGTGCTTGGAAAAGCATGAGGGGATCCTCTCAGATCTGGGTGGGTATGAGCATGTCAGCATTACACGGGCCCCAGATCCTAAAGGGTTGGTGCACTGCAGCCCTTGTGGAAGGATCTGGTGAGGGTGGAACCCTCTGGAGAGATCCATGGCCAGCCCTTGAGGGCTGCCATGCTGTCGCTTCTGACTGAGAGGCCAGAGCTCAACAAGAGCAACCACTCAGGTGCTGCGTGGGTGAACCTGAAGCTGCAAAGGCTCACATGCCTTTTGGCTCATGTGCGCAAAGTTGGTAGGGACGCCAGCTGTTTGAGCCCCATTGCTGCCAAACGGAACAGGCAGGAGTACACCATGTTGTTGGATAGCTTAAAGCTCATGGAGCTGCCTCCCTTGGAAAAGGGAGATGGGGCAAAGGAAACAGCCATGGTCGTCTTGGAAAAGGCAGGGTCCCTACCAACAGGCTTGGAAAAGCAAAGCAACAAAGGGAACCCACCAGCACCAGCCTTGGAAAAGGCAGGGAAGAACAAAAGGATGAAGCAACGGAGCAGTGATGTTTCTATGGATGCTTTGGGCTACCCTGTAATGTTTGCAAGTAGCCCAGAGGACCTTGGAAAAGGTCACTCCCTAGGGAAGCTGCCAGTGAGCAAGCAAAGGCCTGGGCACAGGCTTTTTGCAGAGGCTGGAGACTTGCAAAATGCCCTGGGGTATCGGCCAAGTTCTTCAGCTGGGCCTGGTTTGGAAAAACCAAAGGCAAAGGCCAAGGGAAAGGCCAAAGCCAAGGCAAAGGCCAAGGCAAAGGCCACTGCAAAGACAATGGCCAAGAAGCCTGCAGCCTTGGAAAAGGCTTGCAGGAAGCCTTGGGAAAGGCTGAAGATGACATGCGCCAAGAAGCCTGAGAGGGCATACCTGCAAGGCTCCACAGATGGTGGCAAGCTTCACCTCATTGTTGAATGCTCAGCAGCCAGGTGTGCCCAGTACCATGGAGTGATCTCCAAGATCAAGGCAGCCTTGGAAAAGGATTGGCTGACAAAGGATGAGGCAAGGCAGCTCAGGGAAGACCTGTGCCACAAGCATGGCTGCTGAACAATGGGATTCTTGGGAAAGAATCATTATTCTTGGAAAAGAACCCATGGTGCTTTGGAAAAGGTACCATGCATGGTTCTTGGAAAAGGACCTGTAGGAACTTGTAGGTAGTGTCCTTGGAAAAGGATATGTAGCTCAGCATCCTCAAAAGCAGGATTGCAGTTTTGGTGTGAAAGGAAAGGAAAAAGGGAGGAAATGTGTGCAATGGGAGCATGGGCTTGGTTTTGGTGCATGAGTTTGGTGTTCAACTATATAGGTTGAAACAGTGTCTTGGAAAAAACACTAAAGGGGCAGGGCTTGGATCAGCCTTTGCCAAAGAAGCCTGTAGTGGTTGTCGACTGGCACAACACCTTGGAAAAGGATGATGATGTCAGTGGTGACAACTTGAAGATGTTGTCATCACTGATGGACAAGTGCCAGGTCCACATTCTCTCCTATGTGCAGAGCACAAAAAGAGAGAATGAAGTGCTGGCCAACATGTGGAGGGATGTCACAGAGGCCCAACTTGCATGGGATGTCTACCACAGGGGTGCAGACTGGCAGGGGTGGCCATTGTCATCTTTGATGATAGAGCAGGGCTATCATCAAAGAGTGCAAGGAGTGGGGCCTGGAGGTGTATGCCATCCAAACCCGCAAGGAGGCCCATGAATACCTTGGAAAAGGTGAGGTCTTTGCAACCTTTGCAGATGCTGCCAGGGCCTTCAACTCAAGGCACCATGAGCTGCCAAGGCCCTATAAGGAAACTTGGAAAAGTTTCCAGCAGCAAAGGTTGCAAGCAGGCAATGGCCCCTGAGAAGCTTGGAAAAGCTCTCAAAAGCAGCTTGGGGAAGTTGCCAGGCAGCTTAGAAAAGCTGCCAGGCAGCATGGAAAAGCTGCCAGCAATTAGCTATGCATGCATGCCAGCTGCCTGGGCTGCAGTGTGGTGAACCATGTATAGAAACCTTATCTAAGAATGTTCATGTCAAACATGGTATGATTCAAGCAGTGTATAGTGTTTAAACCTGGTGTGTTTGGTTTCTGCAGCCCAGGCAGCTCAAAGCAAAACGATGTTTCACCTCCATGGGTCTTGGAAAAGATCCATTGAAGAGTCTTGGAAAAGACTCCTGACTGTACAGAAAGTATGGAAATGCAAAAAAGAAATAATAATTCAAAATATATAATATATTCATTTTGTACACTTTGATGATAGGATTCTAAGAATAAAGAACATATGTGTTCAACTATTTTATAAAAAAATACAAGTTTGTGGGTTAGAGTTAAAGGATTATATGGGTTAGGGTTTAGGGTTTTAAGGGTTAGGGTTGAGGGTTAAAAGGGGCAGGGTTTAAAGTTTTATCACCAGTGATAAGGTTCATGCATCTTTTCCACCTGTGAATGCTTAAAAAAAAACTTTATAAAAACTCGTCAAATCTTATCAAAACCATGATTTCATAAGATTTCATAATAAGATTTGATAAGATGTGATAAACATGAAAAAAAATCAGGAAAAAACAACCTGGAAGGACACAGAAATGTCTACAATAACTCTTCAAACATTGTGCATCTGCAGCAATTTCAGGCTTAAAGCAAGGTCTAGAAGGTTGTACTTTCCAAACGGAGACATGGAGAGCCATGGCTCTTCGAGTGAAGTGAAGACTTACGAATCCTTGGAATCACGCCCTACGCCGCTCGGCGGACTCTCCCGATGCCGTGTGTGTGTTTTCCATGTGTTTCCCTAAAAAGAGACCGGTGAACCTCTTTTCGGCGCATCCGTTCGTGTTGGAGTTTATTAGGGTTTAGGGTTTGAGGTTCAGGGTTTAGGGTTTGAGGTTTCCAACATCTTTCAGGAAGGTTTGTCAGCATCATGGTGGATCATGTCGGTTTCGTCGATTCTTTGGTCGAAGGTGGATCGAAAGCACAGAACTTGGAGTGAAGTGAAGACGGAAGGTCTTTTCGTTGAGATATATTACTATATTTAATCCCTATAGGGATCCAGTCGTACCGAACCTCACGCAGCCGGTGATGTGTTCGACACTGTAGGTGGCAGGAGGAACCTTCTAGAGGCTTGTCGGGCCCTACGAGTGGAACAACTCCACTCCATCTGCTCGATGGACATGCTACACTCCCCACATCCCGACACGGCTCCCCGACGGCGCGGCTTGTGATGACGTACCGGCCGTGCTTGCAGCATCAGCCTCCTCTGTACGATCCTGGCGTTGGAAAACCGCTGCGCAAGCGCAGCGTCGGCTCACGCGAGCTGTTCTGCATCTTTTGCCCTTCGGATTCACAGAATCGTCATGAGCCACTGTCATAACATATTGGTTGGGTCTATCCGAGTCTACCTGGTTGCCAGTGGATGATGATGGTTAGTACAGGCCTTGTTCTGATATAATGTGATATATTGTTTAATTGTTTACTGACGGCTCTACAGGTAATAGGACAGACCCCACATATTGGCCAGTTCGGACATGCCTTAGGAGCGATCGGACGCTACGAACGGGGCGAAACTGGCATCGCTGCTAGTAGCAAGGACGCTACGAACGGGGCTCCTTTTTCGAGTTTCCTTGGAGTTTCCACGCACCCGAAATGGCCTCGAACCCTGCGGAGGGCGGGTGGATGGATGATATATAGCTCACCAATGCTACTGACCGGCGTCAATTGCATGGCCCAAACAACAGGGGCGCTGCCCAATGCTATGGCGATCCATGGAGTCACACCCTGTTTCAGGAAGGAAACCCCAGCACCACTGAAGGCAGTAAAGCCTGTTCATTCAGTGGATTGTGTAGTTTTTGTGGATTTAACTCAAGAATGTCATGAAGAAAATCAACCAGGCAATCCGACTCTGCTATTCTTCCGACTCTGCGATTTTGACCAACTTCACCCTGTCTCTCCGGATATCACCCTTTCTTGAAGTTGAGATTGTCTTGTGTTGTTTACTCCCAACATCTAGAGAAGACTTGTCTAGACATCCTTCTCCATGAGCCACATCAGACTCTCCCGCCGAGGCCAGGTGCCTGTTTGAGCACACGTTGCCGGAGCAATTCATTCTCCTCGCCAGATCGTCCCAGTCTTCGCCATTCCCGGCGGCGGAACCGCCGGATCGTCCCGTCTTGGAGGTGCGGAAGGTTGCAAAGGCATTGACGGTGCAAAGCAAAAAAAAACACAACAAAAGGGCCTAAGGACAAAAGGCATATCGTGTGTACGAGATCAAAGATGATGGAACGCTCTGCTTCTTTTCGTGCTTTTTGCTTGGTCACGGAACTGCCCACTGCTGTGGTTGCACCCCACCCACATGCTTGGGTTCTGCGGTCAGTTGATATTTTTAGGTCGGAAGAACAGCCTCCTCATTGATCTCAGCCTAATGCCTAGAAAGAGCGGACGTGAAGTTGTGATTTAACTACTGCCTTGTGCAGCTGTTTGCAGGACACCATCAAGTGTCTCCGAATGCCCTTTTTGTTGCGCTCATTCAGTACTGGAGCCCCTGCCGCGGGATCCTGGTGGGGGCATCAAACAAGGACTACCGAACCATCAACCACAAGAAGCCCTATCCTGCCGACGAACAAGATCAAACAAGGTGGTGCAAAAGCAGCAGCTCACCCGCTATGGGAACCAGAATTAACCTCAACCTTTCTCTATAAGCGATATCCTCACTGTCGACTCTTGAGTCTATTTCAACCCCCCTGGGCCTGAGGAGCTTTATAATGGTTGATATTGTTTCCATGTCACCCTGGACCAAACGAAAGGACAGTCACATGAGTCACATGTCTGTCTACCAGGACCCTCCTGTCTATACGGGTGTCTATGTAAATAGCCCCTTAGTCTTAGCCGTGATTCGGGGTGTCCATGAACCAACCACCCCTTGAAAAAAGGGCCCTTGAGACGAGCTTCATGTCATCTCGTCTTCTCTCGCCCTCTCCTCGCTCCCGCCCCTCTTCCGTCCTGTGCCAGGCGCGCGACCTCGGCAGCCAAACGCTGCAGATCCTCGAGGCTGGAGGCTGGAGGAGGGAGACCGTCAATCTTCGTGTGGGCGGTTTCAATCCAACCAAAGATGTATACAAAACAATCCCGGATAGGATCCAGTCGTACCCTCTGAGCAGGTGGGACTGGGGTGGGTGCCAGGAGGGTCCAGTCGTACCTTTTGAGGAGGTACGACTGGATCCCTAGGGAATAATTAACTAATTCTGCGTGTTATTCGGTTTTGTTTGGTTTCGATTGGTTTCGTGTTTGTCCCTACCTTCTGAGGATGTGGTGGAGAAGTGAGGTGCTCCTGTTTTCAAGTGTTGGGCATGCTCGGCCGGGGACCTGGCTATTGATTGGGATTGAGCCAGTCGTTCCGGTCGTCGAACGGATGGATTCTTTCTTTGGTGTTTCCTGAACCTTGCGCTGGGTCATGGTGGATATACTTCCTGACAAATCGTACTCTTCATCTACCTGAGCCATCCAATCGTCCAGCAGTATCACGACATACAGCGACCATTCCCAGGTGTACTACGTATACTTCAACCCTCCGCTTCCGAAAATCCTGGGCCAACCTGGTTGCACCTACGGATTCCAGAACTGCTGTACTACCTGTTAGGATCTGACACCAGCCAAAAAAGAGTATATATCGTGGTATTCAGTCTTCATGATGCAACATGGAAACATGTCGACCTTCTATAGTGCAAGGATACCCAACCTGTTCGAGCTCTAGAAACAACATTCAACATCAAGTAGCGTTTGAGTGGTCAAGGTCACCTGTGCTACTGACTGGTTCTTAGCCCAAAAGAAGGGCAATGAGGCCAAATCATGCTCATCCCTTCCTTGATCATGCCAACGCAGACCGTTCAAGCATCCAACCATCATTCATGAGATGCAAAACCACTCTGTCGCTATGTTCTCGCTCAAATGTTCTCCCTCATCAAAAGAAACTCCAACTCTCCCTTCTCCTCCAGACCAAACCCTCCCCACTCATGGACCTGTCTTGATCACCCCCCCCTCCAGAAAAAAAGGAACCTCTTCCGAACCCAACACGAACCGCGACCCGAACGAACCGCGACGCACCGGTCATGTCGACGAACCTTCGACCCCGCCTGCTTCGAGGACACCTTGTCCGGCGCCTCGGAGGATCCCTGGCGGAGCGGGTGGAGCTGCACCCGGTGGAGGGGGAGGAGGACCGCTGTGGTGGGAAAAAAACACAAAAAAAAAGAGCGGTTTTTACGGCTTCACAGGCAGAATGGGGATTGGAAGAGATTTGGCCAATGTCGTTGGCCACTAACTTCACGTTTCGACACTGGTCGAGCGGCTCCTCCAACCCCCCAAAAAGCTCCACATCCCAAACACAAAGCAGTTGTGGTACTCAATAGTAAACATGTTCTTGTCAACGGATGGATGACCAACCGTCACACTTCTATATGCACTCTACCTTACAAATCATATCGTCCTCACTGTCAACGCTTCAGTGTATACTCTGCAACCGAAATCCCATGAAACCCTGCCGCCCCAGCGAGCCAATGGGCTCGCCTACTCGATGCACCGAAAAAAAAAAAAAAAAACGGTCTCGGGCGCCCGGCGGAGGACGGGGGCGCCACCCCCGGAAGTGGATCGGGCCTCGAGGTGCGGAGGTTCGAGCGTGGAAGAAGAGATCCATACCAGGACGCCCCTGTTTGGGGGTGTCTATTTATAGCCCCCTTAGCAGTAACTAGGACGACCACCCCGGTTGGGGGTCCTGGTGGTTGCTGATTGTAAGGGTCGTTTTCAGAACCAGTATTGTTCTGCTTAATGTTTTAAATATAGTATATATGAAGTAAACACGTTTCAAGAAGTCCATTTCAAAAACACTGCCAGAGGACACGAGTTTGGGAGTAGCTATACAAAAGAGGTGCCAGAAGCTGACTTCTTCAGCGATATAGTATGTCAGGTTTTTAGATTGGGGGCGATGAGCATCAAGATCATTCCAATTCCACAAGGTCGGATGTCCCCTGGAAGAATGATTTCACGTCCATGCTGAAAAAGCATGCTTGAATCTTGGATCAGCTCTCCCATTTGGTGGATGGATCGTGGTCTGATCAGGCAGTCCCTTGTGAGGATTCCGAACATGGGGGTCTATCTAGCTGGTTCACACGCATTTCTTTGTTCCGTGGTCAACAAACGTTAACAGTGTCTTCCAACTGGTTCATCTGGCTAATTGCCACTGATGTGCCAACCTGATCATCGTCATACCATTGAATTGAGTAGCGGCCACCAACCAACGTGCACCCGCGCACTCCGTGGCTAAGGGCCTTTTTCGGCAAAGGTGTCAACATGTGTCAACCCAACTCTGCGTCAACAATTTGATGCTTGTCAGGACAACCACCAATACCTGTGGGCCAAAACCGGCGGGTTACGAGAGGGAGGTCAACCAGAGTTTGGGGCTTTGACTCACAACATGTTTTTCACCCAATCAGCACCAGCACGGCGGTTCCGGGGATGCGTCCGGCACCGGGTTCTCCACACCTGAAGTCCTCATCTTTCACTGTCACCTGGGCGCATGGTTGTTGGGGGCAAGAGGTGGATGGCAACAGTTTGGTAGAGAGAGGCTGTTGGGGGAAGCCTATACAAAGCCCACCAGATGCCTGAGAAAGGGCTCGCCCAAGGACTGTTTTGGACTTCAAACCGAACGATGCAACACACTTCTTCACGTGGAGAGTCTGTGTGAGGCCAGTGGACCTCTTGGTCGTATGACAAATATATAGAAAAGGCACAAAGATGCAAACTGCCTAAGGTGGGTTCAGTGTGATCAGGTTGGTTTAGAGCTTTTGGAACCATCGTTGGTGAAAATGAAATCCTCCACAAACAAACAAACAAACAGGTGGTTTCTCTTTACTGAAAACCACCATGATGATGCCAGGGAGTGAAAAGGGCTTCCGTCATGTTCCGTCTGTCCTGGCTTCGATCCCGGTTTCCCCTACATCAAACTCTCGCACCCATCGAGATTGGGTCTCTTTTAGAGCCCGTTCGCCTCGCAAAAGTCCGCGGGGTGCCAGTCCATCCCTGGCGGCGGGGGTTTTCGTGGTGTGTGGCTGTCTGTCTGTGCTGCTCTTTCGAGTGACGTTGGGCCTGACCTGCATACGCGCTTGGAGAGGAAACAAACAAGTGAGCGGCCGTCTGTGCTGCCACGGTGTCGCTGCCCGCGACGATGTGTTGCTGCTTGGGCCTCACCAAGTCTTGCTATATACTCAAATCAAGTAACTCAAGCTACTGTTTGGTGGCTTTGGAAGGTGTGATTCTTCTTCGGACGGGTTGAAACGAATGATTTTGACAAATTCAATTAAAACATATAATCCTGAAGTAAGAAGTTAGTCTGGCCAAGATATTCTCCGAAAGACACAATGATCCACAAACAGATTCTTTCAATACGGCAGGGATACGGCCAAAGGCAACGCTCGAAAACATGTACAGAACAACAAAACGATGCAAAAACAGATTTGGCCAAGGTGGCAACCTTCTTTCATGACCACACACCCCAAAGCAGTGGAACACTTGAATCTTGGGCTTTTAGAAGAAACTCGTCTTCCAAATGTTCGTGTCGGGTTGGCGGTTTCAACTCACTTGAAAAAGATATATATATATATAATATATTGGTGGGTTCACATGGGCTTGGCATGGAAGACGAACCCACTGGAAGACGATGTTCCGACCAAACCGGGCGTTTGTCCGACTCAGGTTCCGCCAGGGGAGTCTCCCTTGACCATGGAGGAGCTCCGGGGATATGCTTCGAACATCGAAAGAACGATCGATTCTTGAACGGCGGTGAACGGTGCGGGTTGGATGGAGTCGGAGGTGTCCAACGTTTTCAGGTGTCCGGAGTGTCCGGTTGGTATTGACAAGGCGTTGCATGGTTTGGCGTGTCGTCCAGGTATAGTTCGATCCTCTTCATCTATGAAACATGTAAGCTCTAACACTGCATGAGCCCATTTTGACCTCTGTTTGGATAGGAGGAAAAGACCATATTTTGGGTATTTTGGGATGGTTGGTGATCCAAAATAGAGCTCTCTCAGGTTCTAGGTCTATATGAACCCATAAGACCACACCACCAAAACCTCGGCCTAAACTGCCACGACCTGGTGACCGGGGCCCAGGTTAGACTCACCCCACCTCGTGGGCTTGGAGTGCGCGCCACGCACATCTCCGACTCACCTGGTCCACGGGGACGGCGTTCATCCTGATGTTCAAGTCGACTGGTTCTTGGGTTTAGTGACCCAAACAGGAGGCTTAAGTGACCAGATGGTTGGTTGAACATGATGTTCTGATGTTCGTGTTTACCTGGTTCTTCAAAGTGACCGAACTTGATCACCTGGTTGGTTCGGTCACAGAAAAGCCTCCTGTTTGGGTCACGAAAAGGAACCTTCAAAAGGTCACGTCCTGAAGAAGCTGGAAGTCTGATGTTTCTTCAACATGCGGTGGAGACAACATGCGGCCGCTGTTGACGGACACTTCAGCCTAGCGCTGAAAATTAGATCTGACTCAGCCTGTGACCAAATCCAAGCCGGATTCATCGATTCAACTTCTGCACGCAACATGAACTCTAAAACATGCCAATACCACACCAACTCTAAAATACATTCCAACTATATTCTAGTTTAATTGATACCAAACCCTAGTACCCTAGTGACCTTACCCTTTTCAATGTCTCTAATGGAGTGTTCACATGTGCCCTTTTGAGAATGATATGGAGTATATTTTCGGGGGGGGGGGTACCGATGTGAGTCAGGAAACCTGCACTGCCCAGCCTGGTGGTAGTGCGGTGCACAGTGGTGTGCTCTCACCGCTGGGGAAATCCTGCGACGTCGTGGCGAACGTCGTGAAAGAGAGCATAGTCGCGTCGCGTGACCGGCGGTGCCTGAACGTTTTTGCGACAGGATGGGTTTGAGGAGACTTTAAATTTTATCATGATCATGTCGTTTAAAAAAGGGGCATGTGAACATGTGAACATGTCAAGATATGTTTATATGCTGATCACGGTGTACGGTGTACTAGTAGTAAGGTGTGAACAAATAGGCAAGTCCAAGTCAACATGAACAACATATGAGACTGAATGTTCCACCATCATCTGTCATAGCGATGTTGCCGACCATGACCACCCATTTCTGGTGCTGTCTCGGGACGGAGAGAAGTGCTGGGAACAACTCCTGGCCCAGCATCGACTTCCTTTCATCTTCGGCGCCACTTGGGGGGCACCTTCTCCCAAGCCAGAATTCTTCACAACCCAAACGCCGCGCCCCTGAACTCTGTCAACTCTGTGGCTGGGCTCTGTGTGGCTGGGCTCTGTGGCGCACACTCTCACAGCCCGACATCCCGGTCAATGGCCCTGAGGCGATCAATGGCCGAACGGGTCGCCGGAGTCTGGGAAGAACCGGATTGGGCCGACCATGCTCTTCGATCCGCCTAGCCTCGCGCGAGCTGCTCAGGACCGGCCTTGATGTGGGAGTAGCAGGGCAATGGCAGCGATTTCTCACCTGAGCGAAGAAACGGAACCTGCCTTGGGCAAAAACGGAACCTGCCTCTTCGCTCTTGGCCGCTCTTAGCCTGAGAGCCCCCAAGTAGTAGTAGGCTTTTGCCAACAAGTCGGCGGAGGATGACGACCGGGCGGGGGTGCCAATGAGTCATTGGAGTTATGGCGACCAGGTCAGGGTCCTGATGGCTGACGGTCAAGGTCAGGTTGAGGAATTTTGCACCCCTTATGGAAGTGAATCATGTGGCAGATGGGCAAATAGTGCTATCAGGTGTGCAAAATGGTGCATCTTTCTTCTGGACAAATACAGCATCGGTTCTTGTTAGGGGGAAGACATCACCACACTTCTATTGCATCTCCGAAAAGCCTAAAAACAAACAACAAGAACTCAAGACAACACTCCAACAGCAGGTCCATCTGGGTCTCGACCCCTTCCCACTCCACACCAGTGGGCTCAGCCTTCCGCCCGCGGGTTTCCCCGCCCTCGTTCGACCTAGCCGAGAGACGCTCACGTCCCGTGTCGGGATTGGTCTCAGTGTCGCTGAAACCGTTCATCTCAAACTCGTAGTGACCACCCTGAGCAGCTGAAGGGATGGCTTGTCTGATGGGTCTGGGAAGAGATGGAAGCCCCAACCTCACTTGGCTCCAAAGAGGCGGCAAATTGGGTAGTTTGAATTAGTTTGACTTTGAGGCTGTTTGAGATGATTCTGGGGGCACAACGGAGGCTCTAAGCGCTACTCGATCCCACTTTGCTTCGAAGTCCGAGCTTGGCAACTTGGACCTGGCCCACCCAGGCGACGCACGCACCCGGCACGCGCGCACGCGTAGCCCGGCTGTGCCTGTGCCTCCTTGCACTCATGCTCAGCGGGGGCAGCATTCTTGGGGGTCTGCGAAGCGTGCGGCAGTCCTTCTATGTTGGATGGAGGTCTTGAATAATCATGATGGAGCCCAAGTCCAAGTCTGTTGGTTCTTGATCTGTCATGAATAATTGCAATTGGAAGGCATGACAAACAAGAAACTGTGAGATTTGTGAATGAAACATGTTGCTTGAGGTACATGTTCCATGAGGTAACTTACGTATAACTTACTTCTCAAGGATGGCTATGGGAAGGTACGAAAACCCAGTGGTTGCACCACCAAGTCGGACATGTGAGATGATGCACAACACCAGTCTTACCCTGAGGATCCCGCTACCACTATAGCTGGTAACCATTGGTTCCAAAGGCTAAAACTGAGTAGTCCCTAGAGCTCCAACCATATCAACCAGTGGTTAGACCCCCCTGGCATCCACCCACCCCTGGCCCACCGAACCTCAGGTGGGCCAGGAGCCCTTTTTCAGGGTGTATATATAGACCGAATGAAGACCCTTCCTGTTTTCGAGCGGCCGCCCGGGCGCTCCACGAGACGGGACGTCCGGCCCCATCGCTCCATGCGATGCACGAGTGGAGCGTTCAGTCGACCGGGGAGACCGACACCCGGCGTGCCGACCCCCCCTTTTTTCTGGTTTGACATAGACCAGTCTACCCAGACACCAGCGAGAAAGGGATCAAGACCGATTAAGAGTAGACACCCACGAAGAGGAAAGGTGTCAACTTGACAGTTCAGCTTGACACGCGTTGATGTGAGACTGAATGATCATGCAGCACAGGCACCCACCTTACATCTATATAGAGTGCGGCTCAATCGTAGCTACCACAAGTATGCCACAGGATGCCACGGGAAGATCCACAAGGTTTCCTACAATGAAGGTCCACATCAACACGGTGCTTCTGCCCATACTGCTTCACCATACTTTCACAAACTGTCGTTCGTGGAAGTCAGAATGATCTGGGCACACAGATGTTGGCAATGATAGGAGGGGTCGATGCCAGGCTACCCTTGGGGGCTCCAACTTCCGTTTCGAAGATGGTTGGAGTTGGTGCCAGGGAGGTCTAACCATTTTCCGAGGATCTGGTAGCCCCAAAGATCTCTAGATTTTGTCTTGTCCCTCTAGGCCTCCTCGGCCTTGTTGGGCGAATAACCTGCCCGTGCCGCGATCGATGGGGGTCGGGCCGAAGGAGGCGATCGTAAGGTCGAAGCACGGAGCGGGCGGCGCGGGGGGTCCAAGCCAAGGAGAGATCGTTCACGAATTGAGAATTCTTGACCTATATACTATATAGGATTGAGAACAGTACACACGACCTAGCACACTAGTGCTAGGTTCCATTTGATGTGAAGACTGTGGAAGGCTTCTAAAGGTTTGTCGTGTTTGAAGGAGGGCTCCTGTTGAGGGCGTTCTTCTCGTGTGAGGCTTCTTGGTGTCAGGCCGCAACCTAGTGTTCATGCTCATTGTGAACTGTGTGCCCAATGTTTTTTTTTTTTTTTGTTTTGCATTGTCATTGTTATTGTTTTCCCTTGTATTATGTTTGTTAGTGTGTTTGCTTTAATCCAGGTCATGAAACATATGGAACTGTGAATTGAGAGTTTCAGAGTGTTCATCGTTAGCATAACTCACGAACATGAATGTTCCACGACGTTGGTCCTTCCACCCCCAAGCCGAACTCATTACTTTGTAGGAGCAAGATGCGAACGTCAGGTCATGTGGCAACATCTCCAACGTCCCGCGTCTGTCACGGTCCGCGCAGGCGGCGTTCGCTGCGGGACGGCCACGTTCGGGCCTTCGTAGAGGGCTGAATCGGAACTGGCCCGCATCAATGCACCACTGGAGAAGGCGCCTCGACCCGAGCCGAACACCCGACGAGTGACGTGGAGTGGCAGAGTGACTGGTTTGAGTGACTGGTTTGAGCGATGAAAGGAATCCCAAATAGGTAGGTGATAGGCCCTCACTAGCAGTCCCCCAGGTGTCATACCATTTCAGCTAAGAGCATCACATCTCACTGTCTGTACTGTCTCCCTGCTCCGTTCAGAACAAGTGCACAAAGCCACCGACACAAAGCCACCACATTGACTCGTTGGGTCCGAACTGGGACACCATGTTTTATTTTCCCACAACATGTAATGTACAGATCTCAAGCGATCTTAGGAAGTAGCTCCACCTAGCTGGAGGTCGGACTCTGTGACCCACAGGCACCGAAAAACCTGCTCTTTGACCATGCTGCGAGAGGCTCATCGTGCGATCGCAGCGCGGGAAAAAAAGGCAGCGCTGTGACTGAGTGAAGGGCTCCCGTTGACTGGGGAACCATCCTCGACCAGCTCGATAAAGGTGTTGCGCAGCACCTGCAGAGTCAAACGTCTGCAAAAAGGAAATGGGTGGGGTTCCCAATCTTACAAGATGGGGGATGTAAACTGAATCTGAAACTAGTCCGGACTGTGATAGATCAGCATCTTGAACCTTAGAGATTCTATCTTTGAGGCTCTGCAAAGAGAAATGCTGATGGTCCAATGGTGAAACACAAAAAAGCAACAATTTGGGGGGAAGTTAACCTCAAACCCTTGCAGGTTTTTTCCTTTGGGGGGTGAACTGAAGAGCTTAAATGTGTGCGTGTAGGGGCGTCTTCCACCATGAACAAAACATATGAAAGAGGTGTTATAAATCCAAATTCTGTTAATGAAGAGCCTAATATGATCGAGGGACCACATGATCGCAAGCATGGGATTCGACCCTAGACCCCTACCATGCGATTACTCCTGGCTATGCGTCAATCGCATCAGACTGCACTGTATCGTTGGCCTCTTCCGTTGCCAAGGGCTGCCTCCAGGGGTTGAAATATCATCTTACGAGTCTTGATAGTGCGGTCCCCAAATAGATAGAAACAGTGTCCAATACATGTTGAAAGGAAATTTATGTTTAACTATAGACGTTATTCAACTAGATGTTGCTTTTCTATCTATATTTGGGATCTCCGGAGCTCGGAAAGCGGAACAAATGGTTCACTCCATCGGTCCGGTCTCACTCCCCGCTCAGCTTCCACACCCATCGCCCGGAGGTTCGCTCCTGGGGAGGATCGCTCAGCACCGATGCACCGAAACTCAGGGGGGAGGGAGCCAGGATCGAAAGCTGTTCATCCGGAGCTGCTTCTTCGCCGATCGGATGGAAGTTTCCGGTCGCCATCCACTATGACGACATGTGGGAAACCCCACCATAAAGCACCTCCTCCGGAGGGTTTCTTTTGTTTTCAAGTCGGATCCGTCAGACCAATGGACATGACCAATGGACAGACCAATGGACAGAAAAAAAAAGAAAAAAAGCAACAGCGTCTTAGAAACTCTGCAGAGCTGTTTTGCGACCCGAATGAACATGAATGTCCCCCCAAAAACGCGAAGGACCTTAGGACCTGTGTGTTATGTACATGTTATAACCCAAGTGTGTCACAAGCTGGGACTGTTGGGATCACTTGATTGGATCGGCTTACTTTGACCTTGTCTCTTCCAGTCCGGAGCGACCCACGGCCGTGAGGAGCGCCTTAGGCGACCCGGTGGAGCGATCGGTGGATCGATGGATCGATGGAGCTGGGCTGAAGAACCCACTGACGTGGATCGATTGGGACGGAGAGAAGTGGACATGTTGGGAATAACACGTCAGCTTATGCTATATAGGCAGGGCTTACGGCTTAGGGCTTCTTTCGTTCTTAGATGTGTGTAAAACAGAACGTCAGAGTATAGAAACTTGATTCATCCATTGATTCCCAGTATAGAGATCTTTGACCATGTTGTTCTTTCAATGATCCATATTTCTCATGGCTGCGACTGGATGAGCCCCCTTTTGCGGTCGAAGGCTCGACTGTCTGCGGTGGAGCGGATCTGAGCTAAACCGAACGAATTCGTAGAATGAGTGGACTAACCTTGGAGCATATGGCAATGGGTCGACAAAAAAAACCCAAACCATTCATGGGACTGATGACCGATGTTGATTGACGTGGGGTCCGTCTTTCGGCGTATTGAAAGTTCCAGTCCCAGTCGCCAGCGGTGGACGTTGTAAAAGCTGGCGGTCGACCCCCAAAGCACGATACAACTGAGAAAGGTGTGCCAGGATGATTGGAGGGTGGCCTGGCACACTGCGGACTGGTCAGTGATGTCCAAAAGAACCGAACTGGGTGGTCGAACTGGGGGGGTCGATGTCACCCTTGCCCGAACTGGGTTGTATCAAGCACGGTCTCCCCTCGATCAAGTACCGCGACCGGCCATCCGACGCTCCTGAAGGACTGACTCCATCACGTCCCTGGCGCGATCGGGTGGCAAGGGCCGCAAGCACGTGGCGCGATCGTGGCGCGAAGCAAGTTCCTCTCCACCCAGAGCAAACGAGGCTAGACTGGAAGAGTGGTGACGTATCTACGTGAAAACTCCGATTTTCATGGCCCTTCCATGTATGTCTTGTACCATCTTGTAACCATTCCAGTTCCAGACCATTCCTGTTCTGGTCCGAGATGAGTTCGCACCCACCGGGCGATGGAAGCACGACGAACGGTTTCGACTGGGCTTCGTGGGCCTGGTGGGTGCGAACGGACGACAGGCATGCGTGGGCTGAATGGAAGCCGATGGACAATTCAGAGCACCAATATGCGAAGTTCGGAAGTTCCTCGCAGCATTTGGTGAAAACCCATTCCGTCCAAATCGACGAAGCGGCCTCCATTGGTTGGCTTTGGTCGGAAGCCATATAGCATACAGTATGTAGGTGTCGAGCACTCAGGCCCGGGGCCCCTAACAACCAGGCCTCTTGGGAGAGTTGTTCTTTTTAGTGAGCTCTTCAGGGACTCTCGTCATGACCTCTTGAGCTCAAGGTTACCGAACGAAGGTCCTGGTGCTAAGCTGCATGGCATCCGGAGCACTCGGGGCACGTTGTAGGTTGACCTTCCCGCTAGTCTATTCTGTTCATGTTAGGTGGTCAACCAGGGTATCACTGTTTTGATCCACAGCCAAATCTGAGCACTCTGCATGGGCTCAAGCCAATGAACCCTCAAGCCTCTTGCCTCGCAACCTGATGATCGTTGCAGACTGTCTCTCATGGAAATTCATGCTGAACCCCCAAACCTCACAGCAAGGGCATTGAACATCTATGAAACAGATTGAAAAAGAACAATAACGGATCATTTACGTATAATATCATTTACGTATAAATACGTATAATATCATTTGCGTATAATATCGTTTCATTATATACACAGAAGAGCGGTCTTCCACAAAAGTGGGTCGCCCTTTCATGCACTTCCCAAGTACATTATTATAAAGTCCCCAAAGACAGGAGACAAGTGACTTGAGGAGAACCCTGCCTTGGAAGGACATAATGCAATGACCAGCTGACCAGCTTTCTGACCAGAGATCGAGCCTCTTACCCCCCCTGAAAAAGATCATGGAAATGGATAGCAAGGCCTGTTGGCCGAAGACCAAAGTGCCATCCACCATCCACGTCCACCATGGATGATGTGGATCTCTTCTCAAAGGGGCAGCCACAGCAATCAAAAGTCAAATACGAATGCCTACATTGGCAACTGTTCAACCACCCCAGTGTGGAGAAATATGGCAAACGCAGGTAGGTCGCGGGTCAGTATGTGGGCGTCCAAAACACCTTCTAAGGCAGGAGCTGATTGGATCATCTTGGATCTTTTCAGGGTACCTTTTCCGAGAAACAGCTGCAACTCCCTCCCCCACACCACCCCTCTTTCACACGCGCGACGCCCAAAAACAGGGCCCCGCTGCACCTGGTCTCTGGCGTCAAGTTGAGTGTCACGCGGCTGGTGATGTGGGAGGACTGACCACCCCGAACTATGACCGGTGCCTCAAATCGAGACAGAGACGTGCGTCGAGGCAGAGTCCGGCAAGACACGGAGGGGGAGCGGAGGATCGGGGTGCGGAAGGGCAAACCGGAAGGCGAAGGGAACTGGACGTCGTGGGATGAGGTAGCTGCGTTCTTGCAGAAGATGATATGACTGTGATATGACCATGGACCATTACCATTATGACATACATGACCATGTTCTTGGAAAAGAGTTGGCGGGCAATGTGCACCGGAAGTCATAATGACCATTATTGATGAATATTAATAATGACCGAGACATTTCGCTGGAATGGGGACAGGTTTTTGTGGTGTGGCCGTCTTATATGACTGGAATTGAGACGAAACCATGTGCCATACGGCTTCGCCGTACTATTTAGATGACAGATCATGGAAGTGTTGTCAGTTGCCTCTTTGCAACTCCAGTCTTTCCAAAAAAAACGACCCCCAAATCCGACCCTTTACGGGCCGACAGACGCCCCATGACGGGGTGTGGTTCGACTATTAGACCCTTCGGGCTGTCTAATGGACCCCCTGAACCACCTCCGGGCCCCCTGGTGTGGGATGCAAGTGTTGCATGGTGTCTACTGAACAAAAAAGAACCAGATTCATACATGGATGAGGTTGATCCAAGCAGCCTGGATGGCATATTGACCATGTATGCATACACATCTGAAATATTCTGAAATCCACATATGCCAGTCCTCTCGTCGTGTGAGCAGGATCCATAACATGTTTAAACAGAAATCAGGGTTGGGAGCAACTGCTGAGTGGACTCGCTCCTCGTAATTCCTATCAACATGCTGGGACGAATTCTGTGGTTGACCCGCGCTCTTTGCATCTCTTCGCTGTATTCTTTATTGACCAAGCCAATGGCGCCATGTGGGAGCCACCTTCTTTGATTCAGTGACCCCTGCTCCGAGCTTTTCTTCCTCCCAGCTCCACGTGTCGGCGAACGAAGGCGATCCCCACAACGAGCTACTGGGCCACCCGGGCGTTTCTTAGCAGCGCACAACGGTGAAAGCTTGAACCAAAATGCAGTTCAACGGCCAAAGGCCATCTACCCAGCTCCTGGACCCGGCAACGGGTCGAAAGGGCTTTCTCACCAATCGTTTTTGAGGGACCAGAAATGGGGGCGCTTCCTAATGGGTCGTCCATCAAGTGAGTCTTCCAATGTCCCACACTCGGAGTGAGATTCTGCCCATAATATGGGGACTAATGATCTACTCTCCTTAGGCCGCACCCCTTGTAGTTCACACCAAATTCGTCAATGGGTGCTGCCACATCCGGGCCTTGACCCACACCCAGCTTGCTTTGCACGAAAAGACGTGGAGTCAAGGGGTGGTATTTAGCCTAAGTGAGTGAATCATGCTGAAAGATGTCTTGCCGTTCAAAGCAGGAGTGCCGTATCCGTTCATCCACAATTTTTTGTGCTCCTCATGTGGTGTGTTTCACGCGTTGGACAAAAAACACAGAGTGAACATCTAAGATAGATTTCCCAACCATCTGATCTCCCAACCAGCTTCTTCAGTTCGTCGCCCTTGGAGAATTCTCTAAGTGACCTTTTGCAGGCCTGTTGGTGACCTGAAACCAGACGATCAAGTTCAGTCACGAACTGAAGAACCAGGAACCGCTTCACCGTTCAGGCGGGGAGAACTTGACACCTCTAATTGAACGGATGTAAAAGGGTCACATAAGAGCGATGGCCTCGAACCTAAGAGCGATGGCCTCCAACCTAAAAGCGATAGCCTCCAGCCTAATGGTCGTTGAACACATACAAGTCTACATGGCCAACCCGTAAAACCGGGCCCTTGACCTCGTTGAGCAATGTTTCTCTGACCGGGTCCAGGTCGAGATCCTTGAGCTGTAGGGTCCATAGGGATATCTCGGTTCCTTGAGAACATATCCCATCAATTTATATGGCTTCAGGGTCAGAGGATTCTGGAGAATGGAAGCAGCAAAACCACTGCCACCGCCCGCCAAGTAACTCCTTTAGTCACAAGCTCACCTCAGTCCCTCAGCAGCTCAATTTGGCACAACTGCGTAGAAACCTGTTTTTCATCCATCAGCACGTCAGTCCCGTCCCTTCAGACGGCACGGAAAAGAACAAAACCTGCGCCGATAGAGGAAACGGCCCAGTGGTATGACCTTGAAGGTCTCCGAATTCGTCTGTACATGTCTTTACACCGGAGTGGCTCCACAGTGAGCGTGATTCAGAGAAAAACATTGCGCATGATGGCTTGTGAAATCACACAAAGAAGCTTCTGACTGTCCTTGGAGGGGTCAACACTGGCTGTGGAGACTTAGGGTCTATACATAAACAGCCTGTGCCAGCAAACTGGACACTTTACTGAAAGGTTTGGTGACCATGAAATCCCGCCCTATGTTCTTCAACACATGCAAGCGATCACCAGTGGTTCTGTCACCAACCCAATCAGACAGGCAGAAAACTGAAGAAAACATTACCTACTTCAGTCAAACATTCTGTGTGTATTAAGGAGAATGAAGTAGTTGTACTATAGCTTTCGTTCACAACCTTCGTTGGATAAATACCACGCCTGCTTCGATTCGCAACCTTCGTTGCAACACGAAGACCGGCACCATTGACATGCTCGCGTTGGCTACCCTTCGGTGCCCACGTCAAACAGGACTCTGGCTTCCTCGCGATGTCGGGCCTTCGCCACGAAACCACGAAAAATGGACCGCAGGACGGCACAGTCTGTGGCGCGGTCCGCAACCTTCGTCACGGCACATCTCTGGAGCCCCCAAACTGGAAAGAACAAAAAGTAGAAAAACGATATAGAACAAGAAACAACTAGAGATTGGTACTGAGCTTGCGTTTCCGAAACGCAAGCAAGCACCTTTTTGTTTATATATGTGGCGCAACGCCGTCTGGAACTGGTCTAGACCGGGGAGGGCGTCAGTCAGGGGGGGGGGTTGCTAGCAGAGAAGCGCAGTCCGCGCCACGTTCGTCGCCGTGCCGACGGAGGATCGATCAAAATCGGAGCACTTCCACTTCCACCTCCTCGGACCTGCGGACGAAACGACCGGAGGGACGAAACGGAGACTCGGAAGGACCGAACGAAGGAAACGACCAAACACCATCGGTTTTGGCGTAGACCCGGCGGGTCTGGTTCTAAAGAACAGGGCAGTGTTTGAAACCTCTGGACATGTCGACTATGATGATCTTTCAGCGCTCAAAACATGAGTTTGGACTCCAAAAGATCTTACCCCTAGGGATCCAAGTACCTCCTCAAAAGGTACGACTGGACCCTCCTGGCACCCACCCCAGTCCCACCTTCTCAGAGGGTACTTGGATCCTTAGGGTTACATAGCTGGCTAATGTCCGACCATCTTTGCGTCCTTTTGAGTATCTTCCGTTCCTTGCCACGAATCGCCGTTAACGTTGCTGCCGAGCGAGCGGAGCTTAGTGGAGGTCTGCGAGCCGGGTTTCATCGTTTCGAGAGACAGCGAGAGACTGCGAGAAACAGCATCTTCAGCCAGTGCGAAAACACTGAACACCACACAAACCAAAGCAACGGACTCAGAACAGCGAGGAGGCCAACGATCTTCCTGGAAGTCAAAAACAACCACCGGATCCGAAAAACAAGGAATGAGTCATGTCCAGGATCACCCGAATGTCGGACTGTCTTTCATGTCGGACTGGAGCTCCATGGACTCAAGAGAGCAACTATTTAAAGCAACAGGGGCGCGAACACCAACGGCCGCCGCACCTAATATCCTGCTGACAATCCTCCTCCTGCCCAGGGAAGCGGGCCACGAACTTGGCCTTGGTGAGAGGAACTTCGAGCGTCGCAGGGATCACCCAAATCGGTCCTCAAAAGAGGGGGACTGGAGACACATGTAGAAAGCACCCTGAGGTTGCGCCAGTGAGGGTTGGGAAGTTGGGAATTGGAACTCGGAAATCTTTGTTCTTAGCCTTGTTGCGGTTCATACGCCAGGTCGGTGCATGTTGAACAACTGTTGTGTCCATGGTCGTGGCGCCCACTTTGGAGAACAATTTGATTGGTCGAAGCATCGAATCCATGCCACGAAATGCCAAGAGAGGTTAAGTGACCGTAAATAGGACCTCCCAACTGGGATAGTCTAGTTCGGGTATTTCAACCTCTGTTATACAGGGTCCTTCAACCTCATAGTCTATAGGGTCTATGGGATAGTCTATAGAATGTCAGAATGGATTGTCTTGGATTTGCTGTCCAGGTGTATAGCCCAGATGCTCCATGGGACTGCCATATATGCCGCCCCATTGACCCCCAAAACCACCCCAATGTACCGGTATATATGGCAGTCCCATGGAGTGTCTGGGAAATCTTCCCCAGGTTGTCTTGGGGATTAACCCAGAAACCGGGAAAACCATAGTTTTATGACCCTTTCTCCGCAAAAGCAGGATTCTTAGGCTTGGATGATTGGTATTTATGACATACAGAATCTACTTTTTGCTACCACACACGCTGTTTGTGGCTTACTCACCCTCCAAGAATGCGATGAACGCAATGGATTCCAAGGCAAAACGAAGGCTGTGCCCATGTCTGGCCATATCATGTCATATCCCAGCCAATTATCAACCCCTCAAAAGCCCGTCAAGTGTCTGTGGAGAAGTTCATTGCCACATTGATGACACTGAACATAAATTGATGTTGACGAGCCCAGGTGGACTGAAAATGAGATGTGCCTGTTTGTGTTGTTCTTTTCAACATGTCATTGTGCGTTATCCTTACATTCCATGCCCCTTATAGTCGATTCCATTCCATGCACCGGGTGGCCACCGGAACCCCACCGCGAAGATCGCGAAGCACCGAGCCGGGTCACGGGATCCTTCAGGACGTTGCGCAAGAAGCGGTTGGTGTTGCGCACGGCGTTCCGATGGTCAATGCGGCAGGTGGGCATGGGAGTGCCCGGGATGGGAGGGTCCTCATCTTCCCAGGAGTTGTAGGTCACCAATGCCTGGGATTGGGAAGCTAGTGACGGTGAACGAGGCCGTGGGAGCTGTGTTGTTTTTCTTTTTGTATTTTTAAGTTTAAGATGCGCTTGCAGATTATAAAATGACCATGACGACCCCAAAACGGAAGGGAAACGATGGAATCCAAGAGCTCGATGAAGGCAGATGTACAAACGAGCCGTCCATCAATTTTTACCCAAGTCGGTCAATCTCTACTCCCTCTATGGCACCACATACCCACTATATAAGGTGGTTGGAGACACTTTGATGCAATATGCCAGGAGGGTGCAGCCGCAGCGAATCTGAGGTTCGGTACCGATCCCTCCAAAAGCGAAGCTCCACTGGACCGTCGCGCCGGATTCTACACCGGACGGTTTCCTGCTGAAAAGCCCCGCCTCGTCGTCGATCTCGAAGCCCTCGTCCGCATGCGCTGTAGGTGCCGGGGCCACACGCACCGGTACCACGGGAGTATGGCTCACCTGCGACGGCGAGCACGGCCCGAGTGGAGAGAGCAAGCTGGATTTGATGTCAACGTGGTGGTCCTTGTTTGGGGGTCGGAGGACAGCGAAATCGCAGCAGGTGAGAGTGGTCGTTGGTTTGGGGGGTCAGCGGAATCGGGGTTGCCTGGCCAAAGCCGGCCAGAGTTGCCGCCAGTTCTGAAAGATGAGCAAAGGAAATTCAGGAAATCTGAAGGCAACCTTCCACTTACCAAGAGGTGCAGAAATCACAACGGTCTACCTGAAACCTCTCCAAACGGTAGCCATCCCTGTATGGAATACCTGGGAACCCGGTCTGTGACCCCAGGAACAACATGGACCATTTCCCAGTCGCAGCCACTGAGGCGCAGTTTGTAAAGGATCTCAATGGCTGGCACACTCCTGGGGTCCTTCTGGTTGTTTGGACATTCCACAGGTCGTTACTTGCATTTGGGTCAAAGATTACTGGGCTCTTCAAAAAAAAGACATAGGAAAGACACCATCTATGTTTGAACCCTTCTGACCTTCACGCCCCAGACCCAACTTCAAGAACCGCATGGAACGATTCTCCCACGGATGGTCTAGGATCCACGACATCGGGCAGACCTGGAGCTTAGAGCCCATGACGCTGGAGACGGAGGTGAAGTGGATCGACTTGGATCCATTGCCCTTCACATGAAAGTCATCCGAGAATCCCTAGGCCCTGAGTTAAGCTAGTCACACGTAAGGCATGCTGAGGGGGCTATGATGTATAATTCCTCTAAGGTCTTCTGGTGAAATCATGATCAATCCAAGTGAAATCCCAAAGTAAGTATGCCTCTGCATGCTGAACCTGCTACTGCTTCCACGGCCCCTAAGAGCACCTCACCTGCGCCCCCACCTTGGCCTGACCCTTCTTCACGATGCTTCCAGCGCTGCCCATGGTGATGAAACACACACGACAGACAGAGCGAAGCCGTGGGACTGACCACCTTTGAGCCAGCCTTGTAGATCCGGAAGCATCCGGGGTCAAAGCATCTCCCTGTTGAAAGTCGACACACAAAAGCATTGCCGCTTCTGGTGATCTATTTGCGATCCCAATTCCAAGCTACATCCGTCATCCCTCTCACAGTGGGCGGGACCGGCTTCCCACTGTGTTTGGGTCGGTTCTCGGTTCTCCACCGAGCAAGAAACCGGTTGAACACGTTTCCGCGAGTAGAAGACCTGATTGAAACCTCTCTCAGTTCCCCGTTAGACTCTACCGATCCCAGTCTCGATACACTTTTTGGCACTAGGCCGAACCTCGGTTTTTTTTGGGGGGGAATCTTTTGGAAAAGGAGTCTCACATTCTCCCAAAAAAAATCCACTGCCACCTTCGAAACGAAGGTACGACTGGGCCCTCCTGGCGCCTACATAAATAGTCTCCAATCACCTTCTGAGAAGGTATGCGGATCCATAGGGTCTGTCAGTTCTTGGAGTGTTTTACAAGTCAGTTCATGGGGTTCTTCCCATAGTCACACACGAAGGATTCTTCAATGCAAGTGCAAGGTCTTTTCGGGAGAATCCCATTCCATCCACTACTTTTACTCAAGTTCTTTGCGGCGTGGTTTCCCCACGCCGTTCCCTGCTTCCCTGCTCCGCCCAATCGATGACTTGTTCCAAAGACTTCAGCTGGTCCGGCCGTAGATGTCGTAGCGACGCTGCGTGGCGAGCGGCATCTTTTGTCTGACATCCTGGTGGGCCCAGGTCCGGCCACGTGGCGACGTGGACGAAGCAACGACGGAGTGTGATCGATGCAACTTCGTGAGTCAGCAAACTGGCCTGTGAAATCGATGGCCTGTGAAATCGATCGGGAGGTGGTGTCAATTTCATGGAGTGATCCGATTCTCGACACCAGAATCTTCCGAAAAGAACTTCATTTATATATGATTTCTGCATCCGTCCGCTGGTTCTGGACACTGTGAAGTGGGATCTGATTGAGGTTGACGTTCATCGCTTTTCAGCCCAACTGAAACGCAAAACACAACTCGAAGAAATTCCAAACATCCTTCCTATAAGCATACAAAAAATGACTCCTTCCGACCGTCAAACCCAAAAACCTTTTCTTTTTGGCCGGACCTGCAAGCAATGGCTTCCAACCCCCAGAAGCAACGATTGCCTCCAACCTATTAATGGCCTCCAACCTAAGAGCGATGGCCTCCAACCTACTAGCGATGGCCTCACACCTAAGAGCGATGGCCTCCAACCTACTAGCGATGGCCTCACACCTAAGAGCGATGGCCTCCAACCTAATGGCCTCCAACCTACTAGCGATGGCCTCACACCTAAGAGCGATGGCCTCCAACCTACTAGCGATGGCCTCACACCTAAGAGCGATGGCCTCCAACCTACTAGCGATGGCCTCACACCTAAGAGCGATGGCCTCCAACCTAATGGCCTCCAACCTACTAGCGATGGCCTCACACCTAAGAGCGATGGCCTCCAACCTA